ATGGATTTAACGGTTAACATGGTATTCATCATTGTCAAATTATTTTCAACTATCACAGATCACAACATCTTTTGGTAAAAAAAGAATTAGGAAGAACTTTTAGAACTTCCAGTTCTGAAGAAAAAGAAGGCAAATTTTAATCTGCCTTTTAAGATTTATACATTTTATCAATTTCATCTAAAATCTTTGGTTTGTTTCGATTAGACTCTATATATATATTTTTTTTGTTCTAATCAACCCCTACATCTTTTATTTTTATTCCAATTAGCATAAACATCTTTCACTTTTGTTTTGGTTTTTTTCCATCCATCTATTTACGTCAGGTGTGCAAATTTTAATTGCATCCTTGAAATTTATGAAAAATAAAAAACTAATTGAAATTAACAAAAATAGAAAATAGAAAATCAATAATATATATATATATATATATATGATACAACTCGAGAAAGGTTAGTTTCTTAAAAGAATTCTCAAATCCTATTGACTTTAATTCTCATTTAGTAATATTTTTTTCCTTTGTCAATATTGTAGTTAAATTAAAATAAATAATCAAATTAATGCAACTATCTCTTTTAATTTTTTTCGTCAAAACCTTCACCATTCTTATAACTGTCAAGCATCATGTCCTTTTCTTTATTCGATCTTATCGTCAAATAGCATCTTTAATACGTGCAAATAATCACGCTCTAGATGATTTAAAAATTGCCTTATATTCGAGTTATCATTTCATTAATTAAAGGACATTTCAATTTTCTTTTTCAGAATTCTCTTTCGAGATTTTAATGAAAATTTGGATAAAGAGAACATATATGATATGCTAGTGAGAGAGTTTATAAGAGGTAACAAGAATAGTAGTCGATACTTTTTTTATTAATTTTTTTTATCATATCTGTTTTAACTTAATTTTATTTTTGTATTGTCAAAAGACTACTAAATAGTGTTGATGAAAAAAAAAACCTTTTTTTATTGAAAAAATATATTTCTTTAATGATTTTTTCAATTTCAATTTTTTCATTCTTATATTTTGAGTTATATTGAGACATTTCACGAATTTTAAAGATGAAATTAAAATTTACACAGAATGAAACACAAATAAAAAAAAATGAAATCTAATTGAAACAAATAAAAGGTTTTAAGTAAAATTAAAAAAAAAAGCACATAAACATTAGGGGGCGTTAAATTGAAATTTATGAATAAACTTTGGAGATGAAATTGAAATTTAAACAGAGTGGAGCAATAAAGAAAGATATGAGATCTAATTGAAACAAATAAAAGTTTTTAGGTGAAATTAAGAAAATACATAAACCTTAAGGGGGTAAATTGAAATTTATCCAAAAAAATACATGTATATGTGAACTAATATATTATTTTTGTTTATATTTGTAAAAGCTGCATCGATACCAGTGTTATGTTACATCAAAATGAAAAAAAAAAAAAAACAATTCTTATTCCAAATAAAAGTCTTAAATAGAAAATAAGTAGAAAATTGCGTGTGTATACATATATAAAAGATGAGAAGCAGCATAGAAAATAATAAATTATAAACTAGTTTCTTTATTTTTGAAAAACAAATTAATCAATCTTTCTTGTTTAAAACATTAATTATATAATTTATTGACTAGTGTTGATTATGCTTAATTCAATATTATTTTATTTTATAAAATATTATTTTTTCATCAATCCTTTCATATATTTTTACTTATTATTTTCTATTTTTTGAAAAAAATAAAAATAAATTAAAAAAGAGAAAAAAATTACATTACAAAAAAAATTTAAAATTTAAAAACTAAAAAATTTATTTATTTATTTATTAAAACTAGATGGACTAATTTATAATTTGTTTGCATAGAAAATGAGATGACGCAGACAATTCTTGTGATCTTAGCAACCCATGTCTTTATCTGAAACACAATTTTCTGAAGTTTTCTTGTTCGTTCAATGAATTTTGTAGTGTGTGCATGTGATCTTCTGTGGAAGGTTAGAGAAAATAGGTAGGCATGACATAGACCGGACCCTGTAATGCCCAGGAAAACAATGGGAGGTTTCAGACACAAATAATGAGAAAGACATTTTTTTTAGGTTTTAGCTGCTATCATCAGCCATGTTGTGTTTTGGGTCCCATGTTCTTAACGCGTTAATCTTGTGGGCTCCGACATCTTACCTCATATCTTTCTTGTTCTCGCCCTCTTTTTGATGTAAGTCTTTGAGTTAGCTGTAAACCAAGATTCAGACAAAACTTCTAATCCTCCAATCTAATCTCACTTCTTCTTCCCTTGACCGTTTTCCCTGCCCTTTAAATTCCAAAATTCAAAAAGCTATAACGGTAATTATATTATCCTGATGAAAAGACAGTAATTTATTAACATATAATTACTAGGAGCAGACAAAAAGTGTTGATTATACACGGATTTGTCAGATTTATGCCCTTAAGACACACTTCAAAGAGTTTATCACCTCCTTTCGAGTGATTAAAACTATCCATCAATTTATGGGTTAGTAGTTGTCAATCGATGCATAGATTTGATCACCAGCTAAATGGATCAAACATTACTTCTTGATCTTCAAATTTAATTTAATCTTTGGGTATATTTTTCTCTTTAAAAAAATCAGTTACTAATAGTATTAAGTTGAAAGTTTTGCATATATGTTAAAAAAATTCTAACCTCCTTTTTAGAAAAATATTAATTTTTTTAAATAAAAAAATATATTTTTTGAAAATTTAAAACATAAAAAATCAAAGAAAAAAAATTTGAAATAATTTTAAATATTTTGAGAAGCCTCATGTACGTTTTACTAATGATTTTCATGATAGAATTATTTAGGCGATCGTTATTTTTAAAATAAATAATAAAAAATAAATTAAATCTCAAAAAACTAAAATTTAGAATATCTTAATAATCAAATTTAAAATTTGAGAATTTAATTTTCAACGAGTTAAATTTTCAGAGAAGTTTGACTCATCTAGATAAATATCAAAAACTCTAAGAAAAACCATACAGGGTGGTTAAAGAGGTTCGTTTCATCTATTGATTTTTCAAATTCAAAAAATTTGAAATAAATATAAATTCTTTTTTGGATATTCTTGACACATCATATATAGTTATAAAATATATATTAGAGAAATAATTTGGTTTTAATGGTATAAATATGTTCAAGCAACAGCAGCCACTACTCCACTTGATTGATGTAACTCAAATATTAAAATCATCTGCGATGAATTATGTGCATACAAGGGATCTTGGGCCTACATTCCATAGAGACACCACAAACCTGAAGTTTCGAACTCAAAGTTACTACAGCAACGCCATACCTCGTAGAACTCTGGTGAGAAAGACTGGACGAGATAAATATGTTCAACGATTTAATGAAGATACAAATGTTTGCTTCTAATACGGTCAGTAACCCCTCTCCCATGGGAACAGCTCCTGAAACAGAGAAGCAAACAGTCAAAAATAGCAACTGCAGAGATTGGGAATGCTTCTATATTATTATAACCACACATCACCGTCGTAGCACCCTCCACCAAAAGATGACTTTTTACCTCTCCATTTTTCCGTCGAGGCCAAACATTTTCAGCTCCCATTTCATATTTTTACATCTGAATCAAGTGAGAAAACTAAAATCCATGTTATAACAACTGACCATAAAACTAAAAAGGAAAACAAAAGGAGAGTAAAAATTAGAAGAGTCTCTTTCTGTAGCATGGGGGTCCATTCTTGGCACACGGGCTAACAGTGAAAATAAGCATGGCCAAGAGGCAACCCAAAGCTAGCAAACCATGTATGCTATTTGTCTTCTATATACTCTGTGGCATATGTTAATGTTTCCAGTTTTAGTAATCATGAAGTGAGCCACATGAAAAACCAACAGGCATTTAAGCAACGAAAAGAAAGAAATAACCCTTGGAGCCCATCACAATTTTATTGATGAACTCGATAAAAGTGAGAAAGTTAGTGAAACAAATACCACTTGTAAAGCAAGTAGCCCTAGGTTACCCTGGTGAAAGGCCTGTTCTCAGCTGTTGAGCAATCACCACACACTTATAGTTTATTAATTTAGACCAGTCCTTTTCGACGTCAAGAGACAGAAACCTCTGGGTTCTGTAGAAAATATTTTAGTTTTTCAGCTGCTCTGATGTATCAGTGCAGGTTTGATCAAATGATTTGGATTGTTAGGGTAATTATGATGGTCTAAGAATCTTTTAACAGTTATGTCTCAACTTAGGATTGACCCAATTATGTCTATACCAAATTATTGCATTTGCATGAACTTTTTACCCTGTGGACTATTTACTGTGATCAATGTAAAATTAAGAGAACTGTACCTCTTAGTGCAACACAGTAATTTACTACCTTTTTTGTTCATCAAATGATGGGAAATTTGTGGTTTAAAACTCCCACACGCCCTCTAATTTTTTTTTTTAATTGAAAACCTGCCCAAAATAAGCTTCAAGTCTCTTGGTCACGAAGCAAAGAGAGAGTTCTAGTGGAGTCATTATCTTTCCAGGCTAACACATAACACTCACATGCATGAAGTGATAAAGAATATCTAAAAGACTATGACCTTAGATTTTTTCTTGAAGGGAGAGAGAAGTTCTATCACCTAAGCAAACAGTTGAATATTCTGATTTTTTGTTCTTTTCTTTTTTTTGAATCATGAAACAAAAGCTATTACTCTGAGTCATGTGAATTGAATTTGGACGTCAGTTTGAAATTTCACTTCACCAAAAATATATTCAATTATTATCATACTTATAATAAAGCCAGAAAAGATAGAGGGAAAGAAAAAAAGAATAGAAAGACCTAAACCCAAGCTGGACCCACGTCCTTAAATTGGTTGCCAGACCAGCTTCCCTTATATCTTTCAAACGAGCCCAACTACAAAACCCCCTCTCCCCCACCCTTTCATTAGCATCACGCTCTTGCTTTCCAACATTCTCTCTTTTCTTTCAGGCATTTTCACAAACACTTTCTTAAAGAAACGTTTCTTTTTTCCCTAACATGGCCAGACCGCAACAGCGATATAGAGGGGTCCGACAAAGGCATTGGGGCTCGTGGGTGTCTGAAATTCGCCATCCTCTATTGTAAGATGGCATTAACAATACGACTCGTGAACGTTTCTACCACGTTTTTGCTTCCTATGTTGAGTGCTAACCGAAACGTTTCGTTTCCTTTTTTGTGCAGGAAGACTAGAATATGGCTAGGCACGTTTGAAACAGCAGAGGATGCAGCGAGAGCTTATGATGAAGCTGCAAGGCTTATGTGTGGACCAAGGGCTAGGACCAACTTCCCTTATAACCCAAATGCATCACAGTCGGCTTCATCAAAGCTTCTCTCGGCAACTTTGACTGCAAAGTTGCACAGGTGCTATATGGCCTCATTGCAAGTGACAAAGCAAACATCACTTCAAGAACAAAAACAACAGCAACAAAAGGCACCAACTTCGCTTGTCAACACCCCCACCAATGGCATTGTCATAAAAAGTGAGGAACTTGATGCTTTATTGCCAGAGAAAAGCCCATTGCAAGCTCAAGAGGCAGAGGCAAACTGGGTGTACAAGAAAGTTCAAGTTGATAACAGCCAGCAGTTCATAAAAACTCTTGAAGATCACCACATTGAGCAAATGATTGAAGAGTTGCTTGATTATGGGTCTATTGAGTTATGTTCTGGGGTAACAACTCAGTAATCTGCAAGCCAAAGGGGCCGCAAACACCCTCATTAGTCCTAGTCCTCCTCTGCCAAAGCAACGGCATTGATTAGCTAATTTTTAACCAATTTTTATAGCTTCTTCAAGTGTTTAGTCTTTTAGACCCTCTCTGAGGTCCTTAGAAGTGTCCCCTTAGGGACTCCATTTGATGATGCCTTAATTAGTACTAGTGTACAGTAAATTATGCCATAATGTCCTGTTGTCGTATGCATTATGTCTTCAGTGGAAGATTTGTAGGAATCTTGCTCCTGCAGCTTCTTTAAGGATTCCAAATCTTCGTTTATAATGCAAATGGTACAATTTTAGAAGCAAGAATTTCTCCTCTCTCTCTGACCTTCCAGCCTTCTCGCATTTAATTGCTATGTCACTTTCATTGCGGTTTGAATAAAAAAGAGCCTCTGGGACTCGGAAACATAACGTGACATTTTGGCATATGTATTCAATTCAAAGTTGCAAAATCCAAACTTCGCTGTATTTTTTCAAAGACCTGGAAATTCGTACCATTACCATTTAGTCAGAGAGAATAGCAATCTTGTGAGACTGTGAAAGGGCACCCACATGGTCAGTTTTCCCTTGTTTATTTATTGTTTCATTTTGTAGGGAATATTCAATACACCTAGTAGAAAACAATTCGTGTGGACTGCTGATTGGTTGGTGCAGCGAAATTGCAATATATCCCTATAATGTTATTGGTTTGATCCTCTTAAACCAAGCATATTTTTTAATAATTTCTTTGAATTTCAATGGGAGGAAATTACACAAGGTGCTCACCAGAATGGCAGCACAAACCTGGCCTCAACGATGCTATTAAAAACAAGAAAAAAAATCAAGAAAAAAGATACTCTAGGTATCCTCCATGGGTGACTGAATTTGTCAATATAAACACTGTGGTGTTGAAAGGACTTCTTTTGAAAAGAGGATCACAGAAGGAAATAATATTTTTGTCCAAAAGAACGGCCTGCAGGGCACTTTCCTTTCTTCTTTTTTTTTTTTTTTCCTTCAAAGTTCAGATGTGAAAGGTTTTGCATGTTGTGTAGCTACTGAATTAGAAAGCTGAGTTGTGCTATTAGTTATTCAGTAAAAAAAAAAAAAAATTACACGTTATTGCAACTTGCCAAATTGTGATGAACAGAACAAAACTGAAGTGATTCAAAGAATCTCTGCGAAGCAAGGTACAGAAGCAATTTAGTTTCCATGGAAGGTGGAAATCCAGAGACTGGTTTCTTTAATGTCAGAAAGATGTGAGACCAATTTTCAATGGAGGTTGAAAAACAATGAAATCTTTTTGAATTGTTAGGTTTAAAGTTTCTTTTGGGTTCATTTCAGGGTTATAAAACAGGATTCCAGTTGGGATTGCTGCATCATATCTTGAAGAAGAAGGGAAAAAAAAAAAAAAAGGCGACACTGAATGTGATTGAGTGGGTGTTTTAATTATTTTGTTCAGGCCCATCTTTCTTTCTCTCTTTCTCTATGTCTTCCACGCACAACAACAAAAAGCGGAACAAAACATTTGTAGAGGTAGAGCCCTATCTGTTCTTCATGCCATGCTTGCTATTATTTTAAAATGCTCTTTGCTTATGGCATGCCTTTGTCCTTAAACGTACAAGGAGAATTAATTTTCCTATAACCAGACAAAACAACAAGATGCTAGTAAAATATTTGTCTAATTTGAAGCAAAGTTATTTTTTTTATTATCATTATTGTTATTTCGACAATATATGAAATTATTCTCAGATCCATTTTTATGTACCAAGCCAAAACCAGATCTTCTTTTGTGTCAGATTTAAGATGGGTTATTTGTATCATCAGATCAAGAGATAAATTGAACAAGTATGATTGCTTCTTATCAGACTGTAGTATTAAACATAAATTAGAGCTATTCGTTAAGAATTACATAAGAACAGTCTTTTCTTGCAACATCTATTAAATTTAAAATTCGACATACTAAATCGACTATGTGAAGTAACACCTCAAGAGTGGTAAATGTATTTATTTTACAGCTAAAAGGGCCAAACCTTATCTAAATTTTTGTCTATTTAAAAATTAATATCTGAACTTTTACTTTTGAGTTTGATCTCTTTGATTTTATTTATTTATATATATATAGATTTAGTCAATCTTTTAGTTTTTTGTCATTTAGTCCAAAAAATAACAAACATATTAATAACTTCATGATAAAAATCATTCAGTAAAATTCTCTAAAATTGTCGGAGACTAATATAAATTATATTATAGGATCTCACATATCATCTTAAGCTTTTAGGTGAAATGATCTTTTAATATGGTATCGGAGCTTGGTTGACCATGTGACTTGAGGGAGTGTGTTAAGGACTAATATAAATTATATTCGAGCCTCACTTACTAGCTCAAACTTTTAAGTGAGATAATCATTTAATAAAAAAAATTGAGACCATTCCAAGTAATTTTCTATTTTTCTCTATTTTTTTTACATTTTTAATATCCAAAAAATAAAAATAACACTTTCCCACATTGAAAAATTCTAGGATTTTTTCAGAAAACAAACTGGATTTTTTCAAATGCGTGTACAAAATTTCATCTAAAAATACCAAGAATTGATTTTTTTTTTAAAAGAGAAGAATGATATCAAAAAATCATAGGATAGACTAATTCTAAAAATAAAAATTAAAGTGTAGAGAATTCAAAATAAAAATTAGAAGTTCATGAAGTGATTCTTAGTTTATTTGAAAATCATTCTTTGAATTTTTAATTTCGAATTTGACCTTTTTGAACCTTAACTTTTTAAAAAAATTTAGTTCATCTTTTAGTTTTTTGTCATTTAGTTCAAAAAAAATAACAATCACATAAGTAGTTTCATGATGAAAATCATTGAATAAGATTTATCCGGGGTTCTTTAAACAATTTGAGACCATTCTAGATTATTTTCTAATTTTTTACATTTATAATTTTCAAAAAATAATCAGATATATATTTTTTTGATCTTGAAATATTTTGGGCTTTTTTCAATGAATGGATTGAATTTTTTCAAATGCGTGTGCAAAATTTCATCTCAAAATACCAAAAATTAAATTTTTTAAAAGAAAAAAATGATATTTAAAAATCATAAAATGGACTAAATATAAATAAAAAAAATCAGGAAATTCAAAAATAAAAATATTAAAAATTTATGAAATGATTTTCAAATGAACTACGGTCCAGGGGGTTCGATCTTTTTAGTCTTATGTTCCCTATATCTAAACTTTAATCTTTGATGGTTGTGATAGAAAAAGTCCATGAAAATTAGCTTCTATGTTTCTAGTTTCAAACATTCGATTCAGTTCCCTGAAATAAAAAGTTAAATTAACATTGGATGGTTAACAAATGATGTGATTAGAAACATTTGACTAGTCATACTTGCTTGCTTAATTACTTTCCATAATGGGGCGATTATGCAACAAACGAAGATGAAACTCCTTTTTACAGCACTTGATTTGAGAGTGATTTGAAGATTTACATTTTCACTTGTCATTTTCATTTCTTGGTCTGGATCTCTTCTAGATAAAAAAACAGAAGAAAAAAAGTAGGTAGATAAAGCACATGCAAAACAATGGTTATCTATAAACTGATTTGGTTAACTTTTATATATATATATATATGAGTCTCGGTCTGCATAATTAATTCTCAAATCGAGACTAATCCTGTCAGATTATGCTTAGTTTTTGGATAAACGAGAGCCTTTTTAGAGACTAATCCTGTGGAATTATGCTAGTTTCTGGATCAACACAAAACCCTTTTTTATTTTTATTTTTTGCCGCGAATCAACAGCAGCTTTAACAAAATTGATGGCCTATCAACGATTATCCTTTTTTTTTTTTTTTTGCCTGAAAGCATTGTTCAGAGAAAAACATACTACTTCTGTCCAAGTTGATTAATAGTTTATATTATTATTTCTTCAAGATAAACAACTGAAATTTCACCATTAATTCACTAATATGATTTCAATTACCAGAGTACGAATTCTTGATTTGTTTCCTCTTTAAGTAGAGTTTAATCTGTAAGTGAACAGGAAATGTCACAAGTTCTACAATGTCCGGAATTAAAATATGTCTGCTGTTGGGTGCTGGTGTCCAGTCTCTGTCAATGGAACTTCATAATTGTTTACCTGTTTGGAAATTGATTTTGCTCCCCACATCCATCAAAGATTAAAGTTGCTTAGTCCAATTATATTGTTTTTTTTACTTTTGATTCAGCAAAGGTGATTAAATCATGGCATGTTAGTGAGTTTCCCATCATTAAAAGTTTGAACTTTGTGACCTTAAGGGGCACTTGATCTTTCACCTGACCAACCACTGACCTTTTTGCCAGGAAACAAAATTGCAAGTTCACCAAATACAAGCACAAGCACAAGTGTGGCCAATTATAACTTAACAGGCAATGGATTAGTTAAGTGGCTTTATTTTGGAGGGAAAATTCCTTAAAGCTTACAAATTTGACAGATAATGAAATTTGACATGTTTTGGCTCTCGATATAATAATTATCGTTGTTTCTGGTGTTATGTCATTCAGACAAGAACCTTTGACTACAAAGTTTGGTAAATGACTGACAAATAATTGACAGTAAATTACCAGATTGAATCCCATGATGGTTACTCTTGAATGCTCATCTTTTGTCATATTTTTTTTCCCAGGTCTCCAGTTTTTTTACATCTTGGAATCAAATGAAAGCAGTGTAGCTGTCCATGAAAACTAGAAATCCTAGATTTTGGTGGCAATAACTGAAGATTTCTGGATATCTAAGTGTAGCATGAAGGGTCATATAAAGTCAAGCAACTACTGCAACCTCAAGAAAGTCAGATTTTTTGGACCGCCAACTCTAGGTGGTGAAGCATTATCTGTCGATCTAACCACAAACAGTAGTACAGATTCTTCTGTACAACTTCCTTTGTAAAAGGGCCATTTATTGCTTGGATTGCAGACCTCAGTGAAAAAGAGGGAGATAAACTATGGGAGTCAAAGGTGAGATCTTTCTGATCAGAAAAGTAGTCAAAGCCAATCATGGTTATCCCAATCATGATTTACATAGAATCTCATGTGGAAATGTTGGAGAACAGACAATGATATGGCCTTAATTCTTTTTATTTCCCCCCCCCCCCCCCCACAAAACCAAAAAAGCAGTACTATACCTATATGTTGCTGTTGTCTTTATAACTAGGTGTTTTATCATTTCTTTTAGATGCCTTGGATCAAGTGAGTCGAGCAAAATTCCAAAAGGCAGAAAACTTTGTTTGCGAGTGAAAGAAAGGAGAGAAAAGAAAAAAAGTTTGGTGGCCTACTCCTGAAAAGCCAAAATACTTTGAATTGCAGAAGCTCTTTTTAATTAGTTGAGGCCTTGAAGGGATGTGTAGAAAAGACCTGAACAGGATTATTTCTATCATCACTTTAGGTTTATGGTATAATGCTACATCGCATGCCTCATACCTTCCAAATTCTCCTCCTCCTCCTCCTCCTCCTCCATTCCTTCACATGGATTAACATGTGCACGTTACCACCCACATGGTCCTAACCACCTCTTCTTAACAATGTTAGAAAGACAAACAAGGAACGGGACACGTGAGTGCCCATAAAACACACATGAACACAACATCTCATTCCTTGTCAAACAATTGTTTTTGTACCATCTTAATCAGAGACATAAATTATTCAACTATAACATCTTGATGACACTGTGGAGCTCCTTGATTGGTCAGTGATTTTTGGTAGATGGACTGTATTTGTCCTGAAGCACAAACATTTTAGTTGTGCTAATTAACAAATTTTTGCCTTTTGTGAGATTTGACAAATTTGACCACCTTTCGAGTCTTTCTACCAGCAAACTTAGCTTTATCATTTACTAATCAAGCAACAGTCATTTTAATTATTTACTGCTTTGCAATTCTAGCTACTATCATCGAAGCATGGCTGCCATCATCAAAGAAGGGCTGCCTGTAAATCGTGTTCACTCAATATAAACAGATAGATATTGCATAATAATAGAATTTATTAACTAGTCCATAATAAGGAACATCTAAGATGAAACTATAGTGATCTTCAAAAAAAAAAAAAAAAAGGAGTGTGCTTATAGGCTGTGATACTACATTTAGTAGGGAATATTCTGTTGTTTCTTGGATTCCTAAAGTATTTCACTCCCAAAAACCCATGTTAATCTTTTTCTATTCAATCGGATGTACAAGACGGATATAACTATGCAAAAAAAAAAATTTATGTACAAAAAAACTCAAAACTAGAATCACTTTTTAAAACGACTAGAGCTCCTTCCCTTGAAACTGATCCTCCTGAATTACGTTTTATATATCTACACACATCTGGAAAAAAAAAAAAAAACTAACTTAAAAATACTTTATATCGACTAAGTAGGATTCAAAACAAAATAATTATGATATTTTATATATACACACACTAGCACGTGTTGTTATGGTTTACTATTGAAACCAATAATTTTGATTTATCAAATTTAATTCAACAGTAGAATCACGTTTAATTAAAAAGGAACAGAAAAATTTTCACTACTTTTAAAGTGAGTAGATATGAATTCTCAAACAAAACAATTACAGAGAGTATATACATAGATATAAATTCTCAAATAAAAAATTGCATTAAATTGTGCATTAGATAAAATTTATATATATATAAAAAAGAGAGACACATAAAAAACGAATGCAACTCACATTGAGAAAAATATGAGAATTATAAGTAGAGAACACACACACACACATATATATATATATGGCTATTTTTCTAGCTTTTAATAAGTAAATTCTAAATAGATAACTAAATAGTAGAATTTTCTTTATTATAGGATTTTTGTGTTCAATAATAATACTTATATAATTAATTTGATTTTTAATTAAATGCTAATTTATTATTAATATTCAACTAATAAACCTATCCTGCATCACAACATTAGAATCGAAAAAAAAAATCCTACATAGCAACACCAAAATCTGCATAAATCCTAAAATAATATACTTAAAAATTATCATAAATCTTGAAATTATATGTACATATGTATAGTACAAAGATTATGCGAGTGAGGAGGTTATTAAGCTCCACTAGCAGGCCATAATTTGAGATTTGCGTTAATACCTATATTCTGGGCCACAAAAATTCAGAACCCATAGTGACATTCCATGGACAAACCTCAGAAAGCAGGCCTGGGCCATTCAAATCGCTTCTCCTTACCTTAAGTACCATAGGTAATTGGGCTGATCCTGGTACAGGTCCAATCCAAAGAGCAAACTTCCTTATAGATTTCTTATCATTCTAGGGTTAGCTTGTTAGGGACAGATTTCTTAACCACAAGCCTAAACTAAACCTAAATGGTCTTTAAGCCTGTTTTCTTTCTACATAATAGATTAGTCCAGCAGCCACAGGAAGTTCTAATTTCAGAGCTGAGCCTACAAGTAATGAGCAATGGATTGCATAAAAATGCTTTAGCTACTGATATTGGTCCGTCTCGAAAGCAAAGTAAGATATCTCGGATACCTAAAATAACATAATTTTTTAATCATAATTCAAAAATTGCCTTTTGTAAATTATTTATGAAAAAATAACATTCCATCCCATTAACTACTAACTGCTAACGTTAATTCTTTAACATCTAACAACTCATGTGCTGCAATTGAGTCAGTCATAGCCAAAAAAAAAAAAAGACTCGGAACAATTTTTTGAAGAAGAAATATACAATTATAAGTTAAAATTTTTTATTTAATTTTGTAACAAATTTTCGATCTAAGTTAATAAAAGTTTGTTTTAACCAAATATACTTGTGATTTTTCTTTGAATCAAAAATTCAAACACTATTTAAATGTTTTAGTAAAAATCATACCAAACATTAACCTGATTCTCTTACTAAAAAAAAGTAATAGACAGACTGTTCAATCTTCAAACTATATATTGTATTCATCTTCGATGAAATGTGATGGCAACTTTTCCTAAGAGTGGGAGTACGTAAACTTTGAGAAGCTACTACCACTACTCTTTACGCGTCCTTCGTTGGAAAAGGAATTTGTCCTATCAATGCTCGCATTTGAAAAGGCAAGATAGGACTAGAAGATATTTTTGAAAGTCTTAGTAGATATAATGTTCTAAACTTGAAACCCTAATTTTTTTTAACCTACTTGGGATCAATAATGCAACCTAACTTTGACAAACCTATGTTAAAAAAATAACAATAAGAAAGTTCCCTATGTTCCCAAGTTTGAATTCGTGAGAAACTGTGTGGGATAAGCCTATAGAATAATTACTTGAAAAGAGTGCTAAACAACTCTAATTTGCTCCACCAAAAATGGATGAACCTTGAGTGAATAATTAATGGTGTGATCTCTTAATCTAAGTAGGGTTTTGTTTTCTAGTGTGGGTGGCAACTGGCAAGCAAGTGTTTGGACAAGACTCATGAGAGAAAGATGAGAACAAAACTAGTTAGGGATTTTGTTTCAAGTATAAGGAATATTTGCACATGGTGGGGGTCTTTTTTTGTTTTGTTTTTGGATATAAAAAAACGAAATTAATTACCTAACCATGCCCAGGTTCTTATGGTATATTTTTCTTGGCAATTTGCAACTCATTTTCAACCAAGATAGATGGAAAAAAACCCTAATTTATGATGGTTTATTTTGAAGGTATAATTGTTTGGTTGGATTCAGTCTTAGTCTTCAAGTCATGGAAACAAGTCAACTGATTTTTGTTCTCCGTGGAAATTTACTTTGACCAGTACTTTTCTTCTACCAAAAAAGCTAGACGCGGAACTTCTTTACCTTCATGTACCTAAAATACACATTATGTAGGCATGGCCACGTTGAATTTCAAGAAGAAAAAAAAAAAAACAATTCTAGAATTTTGAGCAACTTTTTTTTTAAATAGAAAACCTAAAGTTAATTTGTTGGGTTAATTCAGAAACGAAATTAATATGGAGTTGTGTTTGGAAGGAATTAACTCTAGCCAAAAGAAGAATGATTTGAGATTGATGGCAAAATCTAGCTACTTGGTATTTGAAAATTGAGCAACTTGTTTTCTTTTTGTAGAAGAACTAAATATTATAGATGATTTCATATTAGATTAATTCAACTTGTGATGTTAAGGCACATGTCCGCGTTCGTAGGTAATTGGCTTGTTTTTGGCCACTAAATTTGGCAATTAATCAAATCGCTTATAGATAGTAAAAGAATTTTTAGATTTCAATACCCTTTAGAAAATCATCCTGTATTGATTTATTGCATAAAAAAAAAGAGAGCAAATTTTATGTTGTTTAATTATATTAGCATTTTTTTTAATACTAGACAGAAAATACATAAACTAAACTTCTACTAATTATATCAAGACACATGATTTCTTTCGACTAAGATTTCCTTAATATCCAATGCGACAAGGAAATTTAGTTTTTACTGTCAATATTTTTTCTTTGTTACGTTAGATTTTAATAGAATTTTAGTAAAAAAAAAATCACATATGCTAATATAATTAACAAAAACTTAATTTGTGTATTTTCTATTCATTATCGAAAGAACATGTAAATATGATTAAAAGGTATACAATTTATTTATTTATTACAATAAGCCTTCTATACTTTGTCTAACAAAATTTGTATAAATCAAGTTTAAACTCTCAACTAAAGTTAAATGACATTTCACCAAGAAAAGAGAAGAAAAACAATAAATTATTTTAAACCATGCAACCACTTGAATCTTGGTTTAGTTGATTTATATATCAGTCAGCAATGATGACCGAAGAAGTTCAATGGTCCTCATGGACGCGTAATATTTCATTAATAAAATGATTGGTTTTTATTGCAATTTGCAGAGAGTTTGATCATCATGCAAGAACAAGTTGCTTCTAGCTACTTGTTGCAACCAAAACATTGATCAATTGTATGATCAAGACATTGTTCCAGAGAGAAAAAAAAAAAAAAAAACAAACGACTTGGTCCAATTTGCTCTTCTTCTATCCTCCATGACCAATTTTTTTGACCTTTTGACTTTCCTAGTACTACTACTACTGCTTCCATACTTTTGCCTAGGTGCCTACTTGCATTCTACTGTGATGAGAATTGAAAACTGCAAATTACTAAATAAATAAATAAAACTTGGGCTAATAAAATGGTGGATCTTTTTATGTGATTGTAAACAAATTACAAATCACCAATATTTTGGTTCATTTAGATAATAATTTTAACAATTACCTTAGTTTTTTTTAGTTTTTTGTTGATTATATCATCAAATGAGGTCAAGTAAAAGCTATGCAGTAAAGATTAATTGGCTATAAAATATTTTAAACTTTTTGTCAATAGAAAAAAGTCCCTAATTTTTTTCTTTTAATTTTAATTGTATTCCTAATTTTTTTACATTCGCAATTAAGTCATTTTTACATGTTGCTTAATTTAAAATAACGAAACGTAAACAAAATAACAATAACTTTTAAAAGTTCTAAAATATAAAACACGTCCTTGTATTAATGATTAATGAAACAGAAAATTTTAATTATGGATAAAAAAAAGTTTGGGACAAAATAAAAACAATAAAGCAAAAAGATTAGATAATTTTTTTAACATTGACTAAAATTTCAGAATATTTCATAACCAATTAGCCAACAGGAAATTGCAATGTCCTGTGTGCTGACTTCTCTGCCTCAACAACATTTACCACCGTAGTATCAAAAATATCTCTGCTAATCGGTGTTTCATCTCGATCAATGACCAATGCTAGAAAGTGACAGAAATCCCAGTTGATGATATCCAACTGGCCCAATACAAGGTGCCGATCAATGGTATAGGCTCACAGAAGTTCCATCTGATGAAATAGTTGTGGTGACTCTGCTTAGTTCGCTTGAATAGTCTGTTTCCCTATCAACTTGGATAATCAAATGGGACAATCATTTCAATGATGATTTCATCAATGAAGTTCTGGAATTCATTTTCTAAAATGTACAACAATGACGAACACGTGATTGTCTGATCTAGACTGCTATTCTATTGAAATATGTTGATCCATGATGGTTCAATGGGTTAATTGCGACAAACATTGCTGTTCTTGAAGGATAAATTCAATATCAAATTTTAACTTTCCTCAATTGAATATATGAATTTTAATTTTTTTTTGTTTAAGTAAATTAATTTTTTTTTAAATCATCAATCAAGTACTTTTGTTAATTTTTTTGTTATCTCTAAAATACCAAATGTCAAATTTTTTGTTTCTCAATTGAGTATAAGAATTAATTTTTTTTTTAGGACAGTAACTTTTTTAAAACTATCAATGAAATACTTCTATCAATTTCTCGTTAACCGATGAAGTATCCACTACTCTATGAATATCAAATTATAAATTTGTCTCTTTTTTTTTTTTTTTTTTTTGTTAGAGAGAACTTTTCTTCTAAATTGATCTACCAATTCAAAATTTAATAAAGAATTAAAAAATATTATTTTTCAGCTATAAAATCTTGAACTAATCTCAGTTGGTTTTAAATATGAAAATAGAAGAAAAACACAATGTGAGATTTTTCATCAAAAAAAATTCATTACTTGTGAGCATTTATGAGTAAGTTCTCTTTAACAAAAAAAAAAAAAAAAAGACAAAATTATAATTTGATATTCAAGAGGGTAATAAAAACGTAATCAATTAACAAAAAAAAATTGATAAATGTATTTGATTAATCATTTTTAAAAAAATTAATGTATTAAAAAAAATTTATATACGTGATTGAGAAAAAAAGATAAAGTTTATAATTTTATATTCTAAATATAACAAACACGTCATTATTTAATGAAAATATTTATGAAAACACTTAATTATATACTTGATTGAAAAAAATTAAAAATTGATACACTTAAATTGTAATTACTTCGTCTTCTCCTTACTAACCCTGAACAAACGAACAAAGAATTGCCTTTGTTAGTTCAGTCTCGATAGTCTAATTCAATAATTAATACCGTATTGTACAAAAATGACTATAACGAACAATCGTTGCTGACGAGGAGTACTATTCATAAATTTTCTCGTAAACGAATCATCAAAGGAAATCAAGTACATTCAAGTGATGTACTATTTCCTACCTAACATTTCCACAACCACAGCTGGCAAATTTAAAGTAAACCGAACACTTCAGAGCTCAGGAGACAAGATGTTAGAGGTGATCGATCAAGGTAAGGAAAATGGTCTGGCTGGTATTGCCTGACAAATATATGTGGTTAGTTCTGACAGAAAAGTTTCTGGGCATTATTGCTGTTTGCTACTTTGTAAACCACGATGTTTCTAATCCTTAATTTCACTGTCCCCATTGAATAGATAGATATATGGCATGGTACGGACCGTAACTGATCCACAGTGTTGGATGATTTCCATTATTTCTCTTACCAAGAATCGAAGCTAACAGCGATAGAGCCATTTGCTTCATAATTTATTGACGAGTACACTGCGGCAGGAACTGCACTATTACAAGGTTAGGACTGTTAAATTCATGTCCAAGAAAGAGACACAACATAAAAGTTGATACAGTTCGGACGGCTAAGTAGGGATGTTGTATGATGGTTAAAAGTTAGGGTGAAAATCATTTCATGCTTTTGTACTATTTACTATTATTTATTTTAATTTTTTTATTTAGTTATGCTTCAAAATAAATTTTGTATTACTCAATATTAAAACCTATCAAGCTTGTCATCTAATTTTGTTAATTGGTGTTATATGATTGCTCACATGTTGAATAAAAAAACTAATTTGTATCAATTTTATATAGAGTTTGTTTTGCATTATATTGAACATAGAAGTTAAATAAACAATACTGAAAAATACAAAACGTATAATGTATTTCTTTTTTAAATCATTGCAATCCAAAACTCAAATCACATTGCATCAACTGATTTTTTTTTTTTTGTTTTGAAAATCACCTTATATTTTTATAATTTTATACTACTTAATATTGTTTATTTTAATTTTTCTATTCAGATATAATACAAAACAAATTATTTATTATTTAAAATCAGGATAAATCAATTTTTCTATCCATCTGCATTAACCAAATATTATATGATTTTGAGACATTAGATGGAAAGAGTTGTTTTATCCTAATTTTGAGAATTACAAGTTTGTTTTGTATCATATTTGAATAAAAAAAATTAAAATAAATAATACAAAAGTATTGGGTGTATTTTACCTTTAAAACTTGTGTTATTTTTTCATCATTCCAATTCAAAACTCAATCACATTGCAGAAAGTAATTTTTTTTAATTTTTTTATAGAAGATTTTTTCTTTTCTTTTATCAAACAAAAAAAAAAACATAAATCTGACCTCAACATATGAAAACTGTATGAAAATTCTCCCGACCCTAAAACCCAAAAGATAAAACTACAAATTTGGACAGTTGAAACTGTTCCACTAATTAATTTGGATGCACATGAACTTTTGGGGACAAATCTCCCGGAAAGAAGAAAAGCTGTCTTCATTTCAGAGCGTTGTTAAGCTTCTAATATAATTTATCAGAACCTTGGAACCAACAAGAGGAATAGGGATGGAAAAGCTCAATCAATTGTTCATTTTGGAACCATGTAAGAAAAATAAAGTAAAGAAATTTCAATTAGGTGGCAGAAACATCTACTAGCCCGGCCACCAAGTTAGTTCAAAGGGATGGGGTGATTAATCTGCCAATTGGTAAACAACCATTCTTCGTGGGACATTGGTTTATGAAAATTCACAGCCTCGTTAAAAGTTTTTAATTGAGGATCATTTGGATAGATTAGAGACGATATTAATGAGGATTTATGCATAGTTCTTCCATGGTAGCACAGCCACCTTTGAATGGATCTTGCCAAGAGCAGCAAGACTGCATAATTCAACAAGATGGTTTGCATTATTGGTTTGAGCCACCAACTCATTTGACGAAGCAATGATGTTTGTACCAAGCATTTGGTGCGAAGTAACTCGGATCAAATCAAAGTTACGAAATTAATGATGACCCAATTAGAAAATAATGAAAACTTCTTTAATTAAAGTTCAAATCAAATTATCAACTATTCAGGCTATAAAAAATTGAAAAAAGGACAGAAAAAATTAAGTTGCAAGAAAATTTAAAATACAAAAACTAAATAACATTAGTTTTTAGAATAAGAAAACTTACTTCTTCAGCAATAATGTATATTTATTAGCATTTACTCATCAACATGCAAAATAAAAATAAAAATGCTATCCATAGACTTCTATTCTATTAGGAAAAAAGAAAGAAAGAAGAGCAGCTTTACCCAATAATGCATGCTCCATCTTAAGCAATTAAAGTAGAAAAAACCAATTCCCCAAGACATCTTTGGGATAAAAAACCTTAACTATCATCCTTCGTAGTTGCAAATCTACCTAATTAAGGTTAAGACTATGACAAATCTATCTTAGATAGGCTTTACAGTATTTATGAACGATAAGACACACTTACCTGCCTAGGTAGTACTTTCAGATGATGCATGAAGTGACTGCTCATTCGCAGAGGAAAATTCAGGTGAATAATGGAGATGGATATAACGTGAAAAACACACTCTCTCTCCGATGGCAGATAAGAAAAATGGTTTCTTTGGAAGGAAACAAGACGTACTCTCTCTCGACTAACCAACCGACAACTAAATTAACCTCCCATGCCCTATTCTTTGATAAATCATAGAGTCGTTAATTGTATTAATCTAATCATATTCCTTTTTAAAAAAATGAAAATGAAAATTGTATTAATTAAGTTCTAACGTAAGAATTGTGCACCACAGTTTCAACTGGCTGTTGTTAGCTGTCCTTGTCTACCAACGTTAGATGCAATGGCTCTCTTTTACACTTTTTGGTTCACCTTGCTTTGTTGTTACCTTTAATCTAAGGGTGAATCTCAAATGCCTCCTACAAGTATGAAGTAAATGATAAATTAGTCCCTCTCGATTTTAAAAAAAAACAAATTAATTGATTTCTTTTCTTTTAAAAACTAATTATTTAATGTTTCATGTTTTAATTTTGTTAATAACTTGATCATTTTATTGGTTTTCGCTAGATTAGTTTTTTTAAATTACCCGCCCTTTGATTTTATTATTATTATTATTATTTTGTCGAGGGGAAATAAAGAGAATGAATGATGGGAAAAAATGACAATTTGGGGAAAAAATTTCTATATGGATGAAAGAACTAAGTTAATGAAATTAAAAAGTAAATGATTAAATAATTAGTTTTTAAAATAAAAAGATTAATTAATTCATTTCTTGAAACAAGAGGTACTAATTTATAATTTACCCTACAAGCATAGATGGAATATTTTATCGAGTTCCAGGTAATTTCTTTTTCATGAAATTATCAATCGAGTACCTCATTTATCAGTATTTGTTAATGAATTTCGTCCAAATTGTATTTTGTATGGAACTTGAATTTTTTTTTTTTTTGAGATTTAGTCATTGTTCGGGATAATTTCAGATTAGTTTTCTTTATTTTATTTAATTAATAAACCAACTTATCTTTTATGTGAATTATATGCGACCATAATAACAATTAAAAAATTGCAGCATAAGAATAGATAAGATAAATTTAGTTTTGGTATACAAATCCGAGTCCAACATGCCACCTAGCCAGAAAACAGGAGAAACTTCTCTTAACTAATAAATGGGTTTTACATTTCACTATGCAACAATACAAAACTGACTTTAACCTCCAATCAATTTCATGAAAAAAATTATTCTGTCAACTTAATTGCTTTCATACTCGTTATGACATACTCATAATTTATACCTTTGACTGCTTCTAGCCATGGAAGGAAGTCCCTAAATCTGTATATAATCCTCTGATAACTACAAAGTGACATATGCATATAATCTCATTTAGAGATCTACGAAAAATAATTTATACCTGCTAAATTACTTTTTTTTTAGTTTTTTTTTTTTAACCTAAAGTATCTATATCTCACATCATAAATATGATTAATTTTAATCGAAACGAAAACAATAACGTTTATTTTTTTAATAAATATAATTTAAAAATTTAAAATCTATGTATTGAGAGAAAATTTTCTTGAAACAAGTTACTTATACTGTACAATTTATTGGTAAATTACCCTCTTTCTGTGAGAAGAAAGTCTTCCCTCTAATTTGTGTATTAATTCCAGTCTATTTGCATTTTGGTCAAATTTATGGCCGCTCTCTCATATAAAAAGCACCAATCTTGTTATTAGCCCTTCATATTTTCCAAGCCTCAAAATTGCAAGCTCTTACAAAGTTGCACACAAATTCCAAGATCATACAAACACAAATGTCCCACCACCATTCATCCTCCCCTTTCCCTTCTTGCTTCCGCCCTTCCACGACCTCCACCGACATCCACAGCCTTCCTCCACCAACACCACCACCTAACTCAGGCAACTCTAACCTCACCACCTGCCTCTACCAAACGGACCTTGGCCTCTTCTCTCTTACTTGGTCAAGTTCGTTTTTAGGCCATTCCCTTCATCTCAACCTCCACCCCATTGACTACAACACCAGCTACTGCTCTCCCGTTTCTCTCTCTAACCCGCTTTCTCTCTCTACCATATCTTTCCATCTCAATATCAAACCTTTCTTTTTTTGGAAAAAACATGGATCCAAGAAACTCCATGTTATTCACCAGGAGGCTAATACTCGAACCCCAAGAATTCAAATCTTTTGGGACCTCTCTAGAGCCAAATTTGGATCACGACCTGAGCCCCAATCTGGGTTCTACATAGCTGTGGTTGTTGAACGAGAAATGGTACTTCTTGTTGGGGATTTGACGAAAGAAGCTTTTGCAAAGACTAAAGCTTTGAAGCAAGAGAGAGCCCAAGTTCTTGTTTTGAGAAGAGAACATGTGTTTGGCAACAGAGTTTACACTACAAGAGCAAGATTTGGAGGCAAAAACAGAGAGATTTCTATAGATTGTAGTGTGAATAATGATGCAAGGTTGTGTTTTAGTGTTGATAACAAAAGGGTTTTGCAGATAAAGAGATTGAAGTGGAAATTTAGAGGAAATGAGAGGATTGAAGTTGATGGTGTCCCCATACAAGTCTCATGGGATGTTTATAACTGGCTGTTTGATGACATTAACAATGACCATGCAGTGTTTATGTTCAGGTTTGAAAGCAATTTAGACCCCAAAGAAGAAGAGGCAGTGGTACAGAAACAAGAACCAAGCGAAGCTTATGGTGGTCATCAACAACAAGAAGAAATCAATGAGAAAAATGACAACAACGTTGTTTTATGGCAACAAAATTCATCAATTAGTACTGCTAGTTTTGGGATAAGTCCCATAGAGTGGAGAAAGATGAGAAAGAGCTTGATGAGGACAGCTGCAAGGAGTTCGTCTTCTTCATCAATTTCAATGTCCTCAGCATCTTCTGGTGGCAGTTCTTCAGTAATGGAATGGGCTAGCAGTTCTGAAGAAAGTGAACTTTGTGGTGGTCCTATTGGATTCTCTTTGTTGGTTTATGCTTGGAGGAAGTGAAAGATTTCTGGATTCTTTTCTGTTATTGGTAATTTTTAGTTAAATTTCTGTTTTTGTGACTAACCCATTATTTGTTGATGAACATATTAGTAATATAAAAAATCAATCACTTCAATATACATTATAATTAGATCTAACATTAATCTCTCTGCTTTTCTTTCTGTATTCAAACAAGATTCAATTTCTTATGCTCTTTGAATTTCCTTTTGGATTTGTAATTGACCTTAATTAAGTTTCTGATACACAATTAAAGATTCAATTTTTCTTGCATAATATTTGTAATGTTGAAGCAGAGATTGAGCTGTCTGCAATTAGATTTGTTTGGTCTGGTCTGGCTTGCTTGATTTTGATTGGAACAGTAGGTGTGATGAAATTTCCTAGATTCAACCACATTTAGATCAAGACAAGATGCATGTGAAGCGGGTCTTTTTCTCTTTCTGTCTTTTGTTCTTTCTTTCTATCTTGGTGTCTGTAAATTAGTACAATCTTTAGACCGATGTAGGATCGCTCTTAAGTTACAGTTTCATGTGTGAATGCTTTTTCTTATTTTAATCGACATGGGATCTTCCGAAAGATCCGTAAATTAAGTTCCTAATTAAGTTTTTTATATTTGAATTAGTATATAGATTAGTACATTAATGACAAATCTTTTTTCATCGCTTTGAACTCAAACTCGAAATGACGATGAAATAGAGAAAAACCTAAAAAAATTTTGAACATAGGATCCAAAACAATACTGCCTGGTTGAAAACGGCACCAAAACAAGCTAAGAAATGGGGAAATGGGTGTTTTGTTGACCTTTTGACCACATGACTTGATCCCTCTTCTACCCTTTGTCAGAGGAGGGCCCGTCTAGACAGCCTCGTGAATCCAACGTATGATCTTTATCGTTGTCACTGTTTCTTGACTGACATTTCCATTACTCATTTTCATGCGAGATGCTAGAAGGGTAAACTATTCTTTCGTTTCTAGATTTCGAATCCTATATAACTTAGTATCTCATGTTTGAAAATCTATAGTTTAGTCCATTGGTTTTTATTACAAATTAATCTTCCTGTTTTTGAAAAAAATTAATTATTTTTTATTTTAAAAAATAATTATTTCATCGTTTGACTAGTATTGATTGTGTTTAATTTAATATAACTTTATTTTAAAAATGTATTTTTTGAATTTTAAATTCTTCTATGTTTTTTAACTAATTTTTTCTATTATTTCTCAAATAAAAATCAAAATAAATTGAAAAAAAAGAATTTAGGGTAAACAGTTCGGTCTATTCTTATATATAAGCATGAGTCTTCAATATATCCTTACATTTTTTATTGTTTGTGTTATAATTTTTAATAATATTTAAGTTTTTAATCTATTTTTTTTATAATGATTAAATTTTTTAACCGAAATGCTCCTGACTAAAATGTCAAGAAAAAATAAATCTAAAAACTTAGAAATTTTTTATTTTTTCCTTTTCTATTGCATAATACAAGCCATCCACACTCCAGCTTATGCATTTTGTTTTGTTTTGTTTTTATTAGTTTATATTCACTAGTCAAGCTATCTTAAAAAATAAATCAATTTATTTTTATTTAATAATTTGATTCTTCAATCTAACCATACGGTTCTAATTACATCTATTATATTCTTGAATAATGTTTAAGTTTTCAATCTATATTTTCAATCAATTTTTCAACCATAAACAAATTTTTTGACCGAAATACTCTTGATTGAAATGTAAGGGAAAAAAATTCAAAACTAGAACATGTTGGTCATGCGACTTTAACTTCTTCTTTTTTTTTTTTAATTCAGATTCGATGCAATTCCATAAAAATAAAATTTATCCATAGTCTGAAAAATTAATTGAAATAATATATTAAAAACTTAAATGTTATTTAGAAACATATTAGATATAATTAAAAAAACGTAAAAATAGATGGGAAGTACATACTATTAAATAGAAACAAATTGAGTTATTTACCCTTATTTTTATTTATTTAGTCAATTGTAAGAGAAATTTTATAAAACACGAGAAGTAACTAAGTGAAATGTACATTAGTTATTTCATAGGTCCATTTTGAGAAGAGATATAGACATTAAAAAAAAAGAGAGAAAAATTATATCTATACCCACCAAAAGTAATAAAAAAATTTTCAAGTCCGTTTAATTTTTTTTTATTTTCTCTCTCATGTTTCTCTCTCTCTCTCTCTTTTGTTGATCTCTTTATTCTAAATGAGCTTATGAAATAATTATTGTATATATCACTAGTTACTCACGATGAATTATAACATTATGCAACTATAGGCAATTCTATTTTATTAATTTATTAGAATTAGCATTGATTGATTCTATAACAATATTTAAGTACAATGCGTGGTACTTTTTCTACTATTCTATCCGGCTTCTTTGGAATTCTTAAGAGTTGTTTTCTATGCAAAATCTAGATTAATATTAAAGGTGCCGTCCTGACTATCTTCACAAGCAAGAACAACCATTGCTGCTATTGGCAAAGAAGTTACGAAATTTTGAATTAATTAGTTAAATTATTTAATTTTAGGCTGTTCGATTGAACATATCAAATGAATACATATACCTAAAAAAACTGTACGTACAAAAAAATGAATCTTTCTCTTGTACGTATGCAATGTATATTAATAGTGAAGAAGATAGAACTGCTCTGTATGGATTTAGAGATTGAAGAAATCAAATCCATAAAAACGGTGGCTGGTGTACTTAACTGGCAACCACATATATTTTTCTTTACGCGCATCAAGAAAATGCTCATGTTGACTTGCGGGTTAAGAAGAACAAAGTCTTGCAAGCTTCAACTAAACTGCCTGTTGAGCATTATGCATGTCCAAGCAATCTCTACCTTTTATTTGATATCAAAGAATCTAAAGTTCAGTTCATGTATTCCTTCCTTTTTTTCTCCATTCCAAGTTTTGAACTACAATTACCAAACTTTTTCATGTTAGTTAAACGAAAGATTAGAAAATCGGATGAATTAATTAAGTACAGGCCATGGAACTGCTTGGCCGTCGAAAAAAGAAAAAAAATCTCATTTTCGTTTTTTTTTAATAAGATTCATCTACATTAGACAATGTTGTTGTTCTATTTAGAAATTCAAGCCCTTTTAGCATGTATTTTGTCTACGCAGAAGCAAATATTATCCAATGTTGAAAATGTACGGAATGAAATTGTTACTATGAATTTGTTTGGAATGAAAAATTGAAAAATAAATGATACATTGAAGATGAAGATGAGTTTTGTTTTCAAAAGATAAATACAGCAAAAATTGTATTTCCAATCTTAGCCCAGATTTCTATCTCTTTCTTTTTAAGGCCAATAGAAGATTCATTGAATTTTGGAACTAAACGAACGTTAAACATTTTCCTTTCCTTTTTTCTTCAGTAAATAATTTAGGTTAAATTCAAAATTTTGCGTCAAAAGCACTTCATTTGAATTTTGATTTACAAGATTCAGAGTTTGGACTTTAAATGAGGTATTAATTTGAATCTTTAAGACTATTAATAAACATACAATTTGAATCAATCATAGGAAAAAAGAAGCAAAAATTAAGATTCCTTGCATTTGGTCAAACGTATTAAAGTGGGGCAAACACTCTGGCTGCCTACAATTTCCTGTCGCAAGTTAATCACAAGTTAATTGCTTCAGGCAGTTTTGTATTTGTCCAACAACATAGACTTTGAATTGTGGAACAAGTAAAGGGGATGCACTTGGCTATGTGCATGCTTCATAGATTTCGGCTTTTTCAGGTTGATATTCTGTAGATTTGGATAGACTTGCATTTCAGCTGACAACAATGACTTTTAACTTGTTAATTTAAGCTAAGCTAAGCCCATCCTTTTGATTTATTTGCTTAATCTCAATAAAGTAGACGATTCAAGGTTAAATTATGAAACATATTCTTTCCTAAATTAATATTTTATAAGACAAACAACAGGTAAACACATTCTTATATAACAATCTAATTTTTAATATTATTTTAGTTTTTAATTTATTATTTTGATTATGGATAAAATTTTTGACTGAAATGCTTATGAGTAAAATATAAAGAAAAAACAACTTAAAGTCACATGATTTTAGTAAAAAAAATAAAATAAAATTAAATATGCTCAGAAAAATCAACTGAAAGGATAAAATTTTTATTTAAATATTATTTGAAAATATAATAAATGTAATTAAAAATTCAAATTATTAGTATGTAAAGATAAATTCATGTATGTATCTTAATTTATGATTGACAGCTCCAATCTCAAGAAAAATATCTTTGGGGGTGTCAATATGGAAGTGGCTAATAGGGCCTCCCATGGCGAGCATGTTTAAAGTCATTTTCTTGGAGAGAAAGATCTGAAAAATGTTTTAATAGATGGGCAAAGAGTGTGGCTTTTGAAAAAATCTAAGCATGGGGCATGACGGTTAGTAATATGCAATTAGGAAGATACACGTAGAATGAGAAAGAAAGACTAGATCAGCTAAATAGTTGTCTGAAATTGACAACCTCAATATATTATCGTAATCAGCCAAACCCATAACTCCATGTGGGTTTGGTAATGAGGCCAAATTGTGGGATCTTTAAATAAAAAAGTTGGAGATTAGCGTTTGAATCGTGTTGACGGGTCAAGTTTAGATGATGGTAACAATGGGTTTAGCTTAGTGATTTTGCCTGCATAAAAAATTGAGCCTTGATTCCTTGTTGGGCCATAGGCTAGGTGATGTGCGGTGGTCAAGAGGGTGTTGCTGCCATTGATGATTTGGATAAGAATATGGGTAATAGATTAATTGTAGTTTTCTGAAAGTTCAAGGAAAGAAGGTATGGTTAAAAGGTTTCCTGATGCTAATAGCTAATCTCCACGTATTAGGGGAGGAGAGACAATAGTTGCTTTTTCTAGTGTGTTTTTAGGAGAATTGTCCGATCAGCTTCTCACATCACTCAATTTTCAATCTCACCTCAAATCAAAATATTTTAACAATGAGGTCTCTAATATTTTACATGTTTAACAATTAGGTGCTTATGTTGAGGTTGGTTAATTTTTTCATTGAATTTTTTTTTATCAAAACAGCACCGTTTTATTGCACAAGGTTGCTCCCTTTTCCTTCCTTTCCTCCTTTAAAAAAAAAAGTTACATTGTACTTTTTTCTTTCGGAGTATCAAGTTGAATTAGTGAGGATCCCTAATTCAATATCGAGTTGAATTATTGACGATCCATAATTCCATAACTATTTCATTTTTTAAAATTTATCCTTTCAAAGTGAAAATTAAATGATTAAAAGAAAGTAAATTAACTAAGAAAAAAACCTAAAGAACCTAATTAATTAAAGTAAATTAATTTTCAGATGTTTATTTTTCTTTTTTCTTTTTATTTCTTTAATTATATAATTTTATAAATTGAAGAGTTACTCTAATAATATTAGAGGTGTAACATAGGCATATAAACTCATAGTATTATGACATAAGGATCCTTATATAACCAAATAAATAATTAAAAAAAAACTTAATATGAAAAAAGAATAAGAAGCTGTAATAAAAAAAAAAAAATTGGAAGAGTATATGACCAAATACGATAAAAGTTTGCTAAAAATCAGGCCTCGAATAGAAATAAAAGAGATCTTGAACGTACAAGTACTTGAGTGTTGCACAATATGGAGTTTAAGCTTTTGGATCATGTGAAGATAAGATCCAATTTATCATATTATGTTGGATCCAAACTACTTAGAGTTCCAATCTCTTGGTGGACGGGCTTGGCGAGGGTGGAGACTTAGGGTGGAAGAACTGACCCAAGGCTTTGAGTCATAAGCCAGATGCAGTAGCTTCTGATGTTGCCATTGTAAGTCTTTGCAAGAAGAGAAGCTTAGACGAGGCTTTGAGCCATAAGCCAGATGCAGTAGCTTCTGGTGTTGCCATTGTAAGTCTTTGCAAGAAGAGAAGCTTAGACGAGGCTTTGAGCCTGTTTTAACATGTAAAGGATGTAGAGGTTAAACCATCTGTTTTCTCTTATGATTCTCTAATTCATAGACACCGCTTAGATTTGCGATTTTAATGTTTTTTAAAGGGTGTAATGACAAGTTTTGCTCTGATTTTATTGTAATTTGATAATTTCAGACCCTTAGTATCAAATTGCATTATTTATACTTCAAACTATTGGTTTTTTTAGCAAAATTGATCTAATTTCTGTAATTGTTATTATATGTAACGATTAACTAAGTTTATCGTTATTTGAAATGTCAAAACGATATAGTTTTAATATTTCGTTATTAATTATATATTTTTAAAAAAATTAAAAAATATTTTTAACTTCTTAATCTTAAACTTTTTAAAAAAAAAACTTTTTTTTTAAATATTATAAATTATATAAAAAAATATTTTATAAATATTTTTAACCCCGTAATTTTGAAATTTTAAAAAATATATATAAATATTTTATAAATTTTTTTTTATAATTTATAATTTATTAAATTACGGTGGTCAACCCTTAATTATGCTCATTTTAATTTATAATTTTTTTAAAGGCCTAAAATTGTGTATTCTTAATTTTGATTTTTTACAACATTTTTTTATAAAATATTTATAATATCCAATGAGCACTAAAATGTTTATAATATAATTTATACTATTTTATAAATTAAAATGAGCATAATTAAGGGTTGACCCCTAATTTTATGAATTATAAATTATAAAAAAAATCAAAATTAGATGGGTTAAAAATATTTATAAAATATTTTTTTATATAATTTATAAAATGTTTATAATATTTTATAAGAAAAAAAGCTAAAAAAAATTCAAGATTATGGTGGTTAAATAGTTTTTAAATTTTCTTTTAAAAAAAACATAATTAACGAGTGAAATACCAAAATGGTATCATTTCGGCATTCTAAATAATGGTCAACTTCATATAATGACAATTAAAAAAATTAGATCAATTATGTCCAAAACGTAATATTTTGGGGTTTAAATTATGTAATTTGATACTAAAAATCTGAAATTATTAAATCGTAATAGAATAGAAGTAAAATTTATCATTAAACCTTTTTAAAAGTATGTTTGGATGGAAAAAACATGAAAATGATGTTTCTTTTAAAGATCTTTATGATCTTCATATCAAAACTATCAAAAAAATATCTATCGGTGTCTTTTCGGACGAAAAACCCATTCAACTGCATTATCAAACAAACAGAGTCTTAGGCTATGGAGTTCCTCCCGAGCTTACGACATTCAACAATATGGTGGATGCCGATTTCATCATTTTGTTGTACGTATTTTCCGAGGAGAAGAGAAGGGAAGAAGCCCTTGCCATTCGGAGCTAAAGGTTCGACGAGGCTTAGAACTTGACATCCCAAACAACACTGTATTTTCAGGTATGGTGTGATTCATTGCGGTCGAAGGAAGCCATGGCAATCATCAAAAAGAGGATGGACCATTCAAGTGTTTACCAAATATTGTAATATATATGGCATCTTTTTAAATGGCCTCCGTAAAGACGGAAGCATTGAAGCAGCTTATGGAGTGAAGCCTTCCACAGCTACATAGGCCTGTAAGCCCAAGTGTTGAGGCCATGGCCTAAACTGGTAGCTAAACTTGATGCTTGAGGTGGTCCTGAAAGCTGGGTCAACCTAAAATGCATATCATCAGCTTCTCGTATTAATCTATTAGAGCTGAATTGAAAAAAAATCTTCATTAGTCGGACCACCATCATTATCATCCCAGGACCACAACTCTTTGACCTAACAAAAGCAGATTACTTTCTTGGGGAACCTTAAGCAGATTATTAATGCAAGGCTATCCACTCTATACATGATGACACAAAGCAGAGGCCCCAAACACAGACAACAATTTCAACGGACTCTGCAACCACTACGACGTGAACATGAACAATTTCAACGACTACGCATCTCAGTTTATGAACCAGAAATCATTTTACAGAAAACAATAGGACTTCTCATTCATTAAAAACAGTAGTAATCTTTACAGAAAACGGACTCTGCAACCACTAGAACCAGATAACATGGGGCTCAATACAAGATATGCAATTTTCCCCACTGCAGTTGACTTCTTTTTCATTCTAAAACCTTGAAAAGTTTCAAAACCTAATATGCATTCATTAAGCCTTGAAGCTCCATGTCGAGGATGAAGATTCATCGTGAACAAAAGATCTTGAAGTCAGAGGAATACACCGTTTCTGTCTACCGCTTCTGCTTTCAGAACTTGAAGGGCAAGATTTCAATGAAGGGGGAGTTACAGGATTAGAAGAGATTAACCTAGTAGAACGGCTTCTCAATTTCTTCTTCTCTCCCTCTCGTATACTATCTTCTGATCCAACTTGGCGAATTTTTGTTTGGTTCAACTCTGCTGGAAGAACACAGTTGCAAAAAAAACCTAAAAAAATCATCAGAAACAACAACATTAAATTATTGCCTGGTTCACCAGCTAAGGAAAGGTAAGGGTGAAAAAAAATCAACTTGCACATGGGTGCTCGATAGGAAAAGGAATGCTTGAAGTGCTGTTAAAGGAATTCACAGCAACGTACAGTTATATAACTTCTAAGTTAAGGAAGATGCCCACTAACTTTTAGACAGGCTTCTGAAGGCATACAGTGGGTTGTTGATGCAAATTGATAGAATGAGATATTTTAAAGGCAGCCCCATCCAGTATCGCATATCCATTTCCTTTCCTAACCACTAAAATACCCAGTGGAATGATTTATTTGAAAAAAATGTGTCGTAAAATTATCAAAACTATTTGATCTTGTACTCTACCAATCGATAGGTAGACTGAAGACCCAGATAATTTCGATAAAAAGTTGATAAAGAAAAGTACATGAAACTAGATGAAAGCAGCTACTTTTCTTTCTTTTTCAGGGAAAAGGAAGTAGTCTTTCAAGGCAAGAAGCTCATAGTCTTACTGATTGAGCACTTGGCGAGGCAAGAGTAGATTGACCACGTATGGCTTGTAAAGAAAATTTTAAAAGTGAAATAACTACCAGTTTTCCTTCTCTTACCACCAAAAGATATCCACCAAGGGAATGGGGAAGAAAACAAGAATTCATGTTGGACTTGGCTAAATAGAAACTGGTGCTAAATTGTGACACAACTAAGACAAACATCTTCAACGTCATGGCAACCTAAAAAATCTGGCTTTTTGGGGTGAGAATGACTGGAAATGAATTTTTAACTAAGCAAGACCCTAATAGAATACTTCATGGTTTACATTTCATATTATAGGAATTCATTGATGATCAAAGGACTTTAAGCTCTTGAAAACATACCCTTAACCCGATTTCAAAACTAGATGTATGACTTAGGAATGCAACAACCAGAACAAAGATGGTCGAATTCATGATGATGTGCAAACAGGGGTTGCATGAACATCAAATCTTTTTCCTGTCTTGTAGATATCTCCTATTTTTTGTAACACAAAACAATTTCAAAGTAAACACAAGGCCTAGAACACAAACCAATTTAAATGAGACTCCTTACCCAAACGAGCAAGGCGATTAACCCATCGTGGAATTGTTTTTCCAGTCAACTTGAGACACACATCACTACAGAAGTGATTGCAGTTCTTGGTGATAAGATGGTAAGTATTCCCAGGATACTCCTGAGCTAATTTCTCCATGAATGCCCGAACTTCTTTAGGACCCAAATCAGTTCTTCCAATCAATATAGATTTCCTAAACATAAATCCCGGGCATTGCTTTGGTTCAACCTCAAAAATCCCTGTTGTCGAATGATCATGTGCTCCAAAACCATACTCGACACCATGAACTAAATTATCACGGCCAAAAAACAACAGATTCAATTTAGGTCACGGCAGCTAATTAAAAACGAAAAAATCATATTAGTCAATAGCCCAAATTCATTTTTTTTCTACCACCAAATCTCAACAAACCAGACTAAGTTTTACTTGTTTGACTACATGAGATCACTATAAATAAACAAATCAATAAACTTTCCTTTCAATACTATAATTTCATTTCTGATAGTGAATGGAGTAGCATTTCACTTCTGCAAAAGAAATTTCTTTCCACACCAGATAAATAAAATACAGAAAACAAGAAACACCAGACAAAAAAAATATTACTATATATTAACCCCATAAATAATACTACTTTCAAAAAATATTACTATATATTAACCCCATAAATAATACTACTTTCCTTTCCTTTCTTTTCCCTTCACTTTCTCAGCAACCAAACTATACCAAAACATAAACATGCTTTTTCCTTAGATCTAAACAGTTAAAAAAAAAAAAATACTGAAATACTTCACAAGAAACAAAACAACCCCATCATTTCTCTTATATAAACATCGTTAAAATCGAAAAACAAAAGAACCCAGAAAACACTAACGATAAAAAATAAAAAATTTTAAAGTTGCCACTAACCTTGTACACCAGAATGGTAGATCCCGAGACCAACCCAATAAGCGTAACCATTAATCGTCGTCAAATCATAAACATTTAAGTAAACCGGCACCGTCCCAGATTTCTTTTTCCGGTTCAACATCACCATTTTACACAACATTTCTTTCTTTTTTTCTTTCTATCTTTTTCGTTTAATAAAAGAAAACAAAGAAGTGGTGGTGGTGGTGGTGATGATGGATATAGAAATCAAAGAGAAGTGCAAGATTTGTGGGATCGAGGAAATTCGAGGAATTTCAGGGGCAGATTGGGAACTGAGAATATTATTAATTAATATAATAAAATATGGAGGAAAACTGAGGAAGAGAAATTTGTGCTTGGGTTGCACCGGCGGCCATTAGAGACTCCGCAATCTTTCCTTATCCTGCTGCTTCTAGTTTTTATATCTACAGAATAGGATAAACGGTCTAATTATTCAAATTTATTGACCCCAGAAGCTTTACTAATTATCGAAAGTGCCACTCGTAGCACTTTGCCTTCTTTTATTTAGCTGTAAAGCTAAACTGGTTTTTGATTCATGGAATAGAGTGGAAAGTGAGTCACTATACATAATTATATGTCAGATTATGGTAATGATTTTTTTTTTTTTGGGTAAATTAGAATAATTATTTTAAGGTATTCTAATATAGTAAGAATCATCCAAAAATTCCAAGTATTGACAGGTTTTTTTTTTTTCCTAATTTAAGAAAATATTAGCAAAGTTTTTCTTGTGCCAAAATGGTTTTAAAGATATCAAGTGCATCTTAGACATGACAAGAAGTTTATGTAATATATTAAAAATTTTTAAATGGTTTCAATAATTTCATGATATTTGGGAGGATAATTCTATTTTTTTTTTTTAATCTTATGGTGTTTCTGTATTTTCCAAATACATGAATATTTATTTTATTTTATTTTAGATGTGTAGCAGTCCAAAAATAGTGGTTGAATTTGCTATCCATATTATATTGTGGTTTCCAGTTTAATGAAAATTGCCATTTTTGGGAAAGAGCAATTTGCGATAAATATACTAGTTTGGGGAATGGGAAAGAGTGTAGTTTTGGGGTGTATGGTTTGGATGTGACATTCTTATTGATATATTTTCTTTTTCTTTTTTTCTTTTTGTTGAAAAGTTAAAATCATGGTCAATAAAAATAATTATTTAATTGGTTTTGTTAGTTTTCAATTTATTTTTATTTTTTATTTCAAAAATAAAAAATAAGTAAAAATATATAAAATATTAATGAGAAAATAATATCTTTTATAAAATAAAAAAATTAAATTAATCATGATCAATACTCGATTAAAAAAATTAAAAAATTAATTTTTAAAACCAGATTGATTAATTAATTCATTTTTTAAAATAAGAGGGACTAGTTTATAATTTACTCAACTTTTTGATGATGTTTATCAACAAAACTCACAAAACAAATATCATGTCACTTAATATGCATCGTGGTCGATGAAGTCAACAAAATAAATTTTCATTGAATTATGTATTATTTATTTGGCTTTGATGGGATGAACGCAATTGTCGTGAAATAATTAACAAATTCATAATTTGCATTCGATTACACGTCACTTAATGGACAAATTACCAAAAAATCCAAAATCAAACAATTATTAATAACAACAAAACTCAATTTTATTTTTATTTATTTATATTTGACTATTATCGTCGGTTTTTGTTTCAACTTTCCACAAAATTGTTCATTAACTTGAATGCATTAAAATCTAAATATTGTTATAAAATAATAATAATAATAATAGAATTAAAGAGAAAAATGATGAAGAAATAGTTTCATTATTAAATAAAGAGAATACAAGAGATAACAACTTCAAATAATTCTTTCAATCTCTATAAAATATTTATACACAAACTAATAAACAATTAAATCTATTTATAGGATTCGAGATTATGAAGAGAATTGAAAGAAACTATAAATCATTAAACATACATAAATTGTTAAATTAATTATATCATCTTTTTAATTTCTCATATTGAATGATGAATTGAATCACATTAAAAATTATGAGTAGTAAGGATATAAAAAGTATATGAATATTCATATGGATATTTCTTATTTCATAATAGATATTTCATTTTTATCAAATTTTAAATAGATCGGCTATAAATAAATAACACAAGGATTGTTCTCATTTATTATTCGATTTACATATTTAAAGGTGATTTTTATCAAATCATATAACGGAATTTTCAACATTTGCATATATATATATTTTAACTAATTAGAGCATTCACGAGGAAAAAACAGAAGAAGAAAACACTTGATTTATTGTTGAGTTAAAATCATTTTTATCCAATCAAGTTATAAACATGTCCTTTACAATCTTCATACGAGGTTCATGTGAAATTTCGATTGATAAATTTTTTAAAAAAAATTGTTTTTCAAAATATTTCCTTGGAAGAGATGATATAGGAATTTCAAGAAATTGAGGGCTCTAGATTGGAAACCGAGATTCGAAAATTCCTTGTCAATTTTTTAAGGGATAGCTTCTGAAGTAAAAGACGAGCGGGAGAATCTAAGCGTTGGACATGGGTTCCACCGGCAGTCAACAGTCGCCGCACCATCAGCATCTGCACGAGCCATTGTCCTTTGCTTCTGGATTTAACATCAAAAGAGTCGACACCAGATTTTTTTTATTTTTTATTTTTTGCTTTTCCTAATTTGACATGGAATATTTAAGATATCACAAGACTGCCATTGACCTTTTATATCAATCTGTCCATACACATGAAAAGAGACGGAGGATAGTTTTGAGAAATAAATAAATTAATTCTTTTTATTTTGAAAATTAATTATTTAATCATTTAACTAGTATTGATTATACTTAATTTAATATTTTTTAAAAATATATATATATTTTTTCTAATTGATCCTTTCATAATATTTATTTTTTTCTGTTTTTAAATTAAATTAATATTCATAATACATTAAACCATTAATATTGTTTAAATAAAAAAATAATTATTTAATTTCTTGATAGTGTTAATCATAATTAATTTCATATAAAAATATATTTTTTTAATCAATATTTTTCTATTTTTTTATTTTTTCAATTTTTTATTCATTAAAGTTGCAAATAGATTTAAAAATATATAAATTATATACTAGTATCTCTAGTTTTGCAATATACTTTTTCATTTTTCATTTTTTCTTTTTTAAATTAGAAAATGGTATAAGATGAACAAAAATAACTAATTGATTAGTTTTTGAAATAAGAAAAATTAATTAAAAGTGGTTTTTCTCAAAAAAAAAAAAAAAAAAAAGGGTGAACCTATTGATTGACTCAATTGTTGTGCATACATTGTGTAATTTTTTGTTTTTAATGTAAATGAATTAAAAAGTAAAGAAGGAAATAGATAGCAAACTATTCAGATTAATTTTCCTTACAGATCGACTTCTTCTTTCAATTGCACCATTGAGAGAGATAAATTTGATGTATTTCCAATATTAATTACATTAACTTATTTTGTGCTCTTTTTTTTTTGTGGCCTTTATATATTATCATCCTTATCTCTATGGTTTTCAGTGGAATTATAAAGAAAAAAAAACGATATTCTAGTTGTATCATTGATGGAGACTCCATTGATTCAGTGGCTCGGAATTTTCCAGGAAAGAATTTGCAGTTTAGGTTCGATGTGCAGCATTTTGCAGGGATCATCTGTATTGCAGTTGAAGACAGCTTTGAATATATTGAGGATAGAATATGGAATTAGCAATAAAAATAAGAAAAAGAAAAAGATGGAAAACCCAGAAGATCATCATGTTTTGTAACCGATCTGGAGACAACCATAAATTATTGCAGCCTTGCAGGCTGTGCATATTGTCGGATAATGGGTTCAGGTCCACACTACCAACTTATCGCATTTCAGAATCAACTGTAGCATAACGTTGGACACTGTACATACAACGTCGGCATGCAGCTTGTAAGGGACCATGCGCATCACGTAATTGATCCCTGATATTAAAGAATTATATCAAATATTAGTATGATTGATCGGTATTAAGGAATGATTTTTTTCCATTATATGATCCTTCTATTTTAAAATTTATTTGATTTGTATTATTTTTCGAATTGATTAAGTTTCTATACTCTTCATTTTGTTTTGTTTTCATCTTTTTTTTAATATATATATATATATATAAAACGTAGTTAGTTATGAGCTCATGCGACATTGATATGTTATGTTCACGTTTGAAAACATAATACATGTCATTTGTAAAATTTTAATAAAAAAACTCATTCAAAACAATTCAAAAATTATAAAAATCAAATTATTATTTTTTTAATGTTAATTTATTGTATTTTTAAAACCTGATTTTAATTGTTACCAACATATCATTTGTGAGATTTCGTACACTAAAACTCTAAAGAGTATATTTTTATTAAAATAATTGGTCATTGATATTAAAGAAGTATATTTTTACTAAAATAATTGGTCATTGATATTAAAGAATTATACAGGTGGCCAAAGGTAGCTTGATGGCCAAAGAATCTATATTCTTTAATTTGTTTGGTTTTTATCTTTTTTTTTTTTTATAACGTTGTTAGTCTTGAACTCATGCAACATTGACAGGTTATGTTGGCACTTGAAATCATGATACATGCCATGTGTAAATTTTTAATAAAAAAACTCAATCAAAACAATTCAAAAATATAAAAATTAAATTATTTTTTTTAATTTTAAGTTATTGTATTTTTAAAACCTGATTTTAATTGTTAGGAAACATATCGTATGTGAGATTTTGTACACTAAAACTCTAAAGAGTATATTTTTATTAAAATAATGGGTCATTGATGTTAAAGAATTATACAGATGGCCAAAGGTAGCTTGATGAATTAGCTCATGTCAAGATAATTAATGTCTTTTTTCAAATGGAATACATGAGTTGAACAGTATAATCGAATATTAGAGAGCAATGGCCAATTAAAAAAAAAGGAAAGAAATAATTAAAGTACAACTTGTAAAACCTTTTTGAACTTTAATTCATTTAAAAATCAATATTTTAACTTCTAATTTTGAATTAGAACTCCTCCAGCTATTTTTTTAAATAAAAAAAAAAAAAAATTGGATCATTTTGTTAGATTCTTATTGATTTTATCATGCAAGCTTTCTCTTTTTTAAATAAGAAAAAAGAAAATTAAAAGAAAAGGCAAAACATTAATAAATTTTGGCACATTTTTATTTTTAATTTCTAGAAAAGTTAAAAGGTTTACGTGTACACTTCCACATTTATCGCTAAGGGAAACACAAAGAAAACTTCAATTTGAAATAAAAAATAGTTAGGGAGATCCAATTTGAAATTAAAAATTAAAAAATTAATTTTCAAATAACTTAAAATTTAAGAAAAGTTTGGACTATTTAATCCTAATTCAATTACTTCTAAATTTTCAAAGTTTTAATGCAATGAACTATCATTATTAATTTTTCGTGTTTGAAAGCTAAAATCTGAATATTATATATATACACAAGCAACAAACCCTTCTTTAGTTCTGTCAAACGTAGGTTATCAACACTGAAACCCAATAATTCATGAAAACTAGAGAATTCATGAAAAATTTACAACTTGATATAAGATTTGAAACATGATGACTAAACAAGTAATGCGTCGATCTTTTAAACCTTTGATTGATATGAATTTTGATTCGAAGATACCTCATTATCACACACACACATACATATACACTAATATTTACATCAATTGAAATTAATTCTATTATTTTTTAAGACCTAGCTTTAAATTGTAAAAGATTTAACACCACAATTTTTCTTCAAGTTTTCTAGTGCTTGAGTTTGGAGGAAATTTTCTCATTTCTTAAAATTATGAGTTTACAATTCATTGGAGTTTAACCACGCCAGGGGGTCCTATAGTATTGATTTTTTTTTAAAAAAACAAAAAAACAAAAATACCAAAAAATCTTGAAATTTCAAATTAGACAAATAAGTTCTCATGGTTTGATTGTTAGGAAATGAATCAAGCAAAAGAATAAAGTAAAAGAGATAAAAACAATCACACAATACAAAGATTTTACGTGATTCAATAATGATATTTACCTCATAGTTGCATTACGATTTTTTATTAAGTTTTTTCAAGTGATAGCTACAAATACAAGTGATGTTGCCTCTATTATAACATGGACAACTAAAGTTATAAGAAAAAAAATCCTAAAAATCCTACACATCCGATCTAATATTCTGTAAATCTTTTGAAGGTTCCATCCCTAAGTCCCGTCAAAGGGCCCCGTCCTCTTGATTGGCCTACTCACGAACCGACTAACGAAGCCGTCGTACTCGAATCTATATAATAATTTATATTATGTGTCTTCATCTACATCAGTCTCTACAACTTAACAATAGTTTATTATGCAATAGAAGTCTAATTGATTTTACTTCAGGACACCATGTTTTTTACTAGTGAATTTCAATTAGTTCTCCATCCCTTTCTCCTAGCACTTTCAAGCACTCACTCCAAACACAACAAAATGTACTCATTTTATAAACGTTAACGTGCTGTTTAGGGCCACCCCAGATCCTCATTCAGACTTGGGCCCTTAGAATATAATTAAGCACAAAACTAGTTAATCGAATACCCATAACAAGGCAAAGGACAACATTCCTGCTTCTGCAATTTGATATTTTTTCGGACAAACAGCGCTTGGAAAAGCATTACAAATGCATTGGCAAACAGTTGTTCTTATTTATCACGTCGGTTTATGGATCCAATTATAGTAGTCGGAATCTAACAGTAGATTTCCCTTTAAATACAAAAGGAAAAAGATGCAATCAGTGAAAGCAAGAACTAGTTGCGCATTCCTGATGATCAGGAATCCAACCGTACATTCTCCATTAAATACAAAAGGAAAAAGATACATTCAGTAAAAGCAAGGGTGACTAACTAGTTGCACATTCCTGATGATCACTGCATAGAGCAATCAGTAATGAACTTTTTTGGTTTCAAATTTATTCTTCCTAAGATGTTTTTTATTCTCATAATTTTACTTAGCTCATAAGAAACAGAGTATAATTGATCACTGATATTAAAGAACAGATGCCCAAAGCTAGCCTGATGAATTAGCCCATGTCAAGATGATTAATGTCTTTTTTTCAAATGGAATACATGAGTGTGTACAATATATATGTAATTGATTACCTGATGAAAAATATATTCGATTAGCAACGCCCAATTAAAAAAAATATATATAAAAAATATATATAATATATAATAATAATAATAATAATAATAATTCAAGGACATCCAGTAAAGCCTTTTTAAATTTTAATTCATTTGAAAATCAGTATTTAATTTCTAATTTGGGATAAGAGCTCTTCCAACTTTTTTTTATTTAAAATTGAGTCATTTTGTTAGATTTTCATCAATTTTAATTGCAAATTTTTCCTCAAAAAACGCAAGATATTAATAAATTTTGACACATTTTATTTTAACTTCTAAAAAAATTAAAAAATCAATAATGTGTAAATCATTTATACACTTCTACCTTTATAATTAACGAAAATGTAATAGAAAAAATGAATTTCAAATAAAAAATAGTTAGAGAAATATCCAATTTGAAATCATAATTAAAAAATTAATTCTCAGATGACTTATAATTTACAGAATTTTGGACCATTTCACCATAATTCAATTACTTCTAAATTTTCAAAGATGAACTATCGTTATTTTTGGTTTATTTTTAAGGTGAAAATTTGAACATATAAAAGCAGCAACCTCATTCTTTAGTTCTGTCAAAGGTAGGTTATCAACACTGAAACTAAATAATTTACAAAAACTAGAGAATTCGTGAATTAATTTCGTTTCATGCAAAAACTTATTCATTCATATATATATATATATATATATATATATGTTAGCCTGATTGGTAAGTGGAAATTGATTGGTAAATGGATATATATCTCCCTGTATTATCATTTAATATTCAATCTTTAGCAAAAGACGATTTTATTTTTATTTTTATTTTAATTACATCCGTCAGTGAGAACGTGGATAGCTTGCTTAAAACCCAACATGGAATGGACTTAGTCACGGTGGGATGAAACCAATCCTGCCGATGTTTCGACCCGATTTTGGGCCTATGATGGGCTTGCTCTAAAATATAGTGATGGAACATTGAGGTAAAAAGGAAAAGCCCATCAACAAAAAAAGTCCAGTCCAACTTTCTCAGCACTCAAATTTCTCAGTCATTGAAAGAAACAGTGAAGAAAAATGTCAAAAACTTGCCGCTCCCTCTAAAACCCAGCCATAAACCCCACAATTTCTCCATTTCCAACACTTGAATCGATGGCTCGCTCAATCTGGATTACTGCAAGAACACTTCTCTCTTCCTCTTCTTGTACTTTACCGCTTCTCCCATCGATAAATGCTGCCACTTCTTCTTTTCTCTTCCAATCCTCCAGACCTTATTCGACCGACAACAAAATTGCCAAGTCGCCATTCGCAGCTAACATTCTCAGAATCATCAATAAGGAAATCGATTACCAGTATGAATATGCCCCTCCTCATCAGGTCCCTACAATCTTTAAATCTATCTTTTGTTTATGAATAAACGTAGGGTTTCTGTTTGGTTTCCGAGAAAATGAACAAGAAATGAAAATGACAATATTAGAATTGAATTGTTAAATTATTGTTTTGTAGCACTTTAAGTTTAAATAAAACATGGGTTCATAATAATCTGTTGTTTACTTGTGCAATTTAGTAAGAAGATTATTATTATTATTTATTGAAGCACGAAAGCAATGAACTTTAGTTGTGTAATTTATGCAAGTGAAATTGTTATATTAATAGTGTAATAATTATTTTTTTATCCTCAGTTAAAATTAAAAAAGGGGGTTCATGATGGAGTGTTGTTTATGTGTGTGGTTATTATTTAGATGCTTAATTTCACATTGAAGCAAAAAAGTAGTTAAATTTCTACTTGTGTAAGTATGTGATTTGTTGAGTTAATACTGATTAGTTTTGTTATTTGAATTATGTAGCCAGAGACGAGATTTCATTCATTTACAGTGGAAGATCGATTAGGAGAGCAGTGGATGATAATGAGGGGTAAATATGGTGATAATGAAGATATTAAACTTGAAGTTACAATGTTTGATGGGTATGTAACTGTTCCGAAACTTGGAGATGATGCCTCAGGTGAAGACGTTCGTCTTCACATAAGTGTGATTGTTGATATTTCCAAAGGGGATGGTGGTGAAAAGTTGGAGTTCTTGTGCTCAGCATGGCCTGATCGTTTGGAGATTCTGAAAGTTTACTTGCTTGGGTATGAGAAGATGTTGGGTAGGCCTTATATGGGGCCTGATTTCAGGTGTGGAATTTTTTTGTTTTGTTTTAATGATTGTGGTGCGTGTTTTTGTCTTTCAATTAGGGGTTGGTTGGTTGATTTGGGTTTGGGTTAAATGTTTTGTTTTTTCAGGAAGTTGAATAGAGAGCTTCAGAAGAGGCTTCGTGAGTACTTGGAAGCAAGGGGGTAAATGATGAACTTTCTTTCTTCTTGCATGAATATATGCTGAATAAGGATAGGATTGAACTTATTCAATGGCTTGGAAAGGTCAAATTTTTTGTAGAGAAATAGAGGGATGTTTTTTAAGGTGCCCTTTAAGAGACAGCTTTGTTTATGTTTTTTCTTAATTATTTCACGAGATCACTGTTGTTCAGTATGTAGCTGCACTACAATGAAATTCTCTTTTAGGATTCATGAATAACAACTCTTTAAGGTTTTTCTGATAGTAAGCTGCTTTGATTGACTCTTACTGATTGAAACCATAGGAAATGTGTCCTTCCTTAGTTTGTAAGCCACATTACATCTCTCTCTCTCACCAGTAGAAGTATGGAAATGCGAACTTCTGAACTCTACTTAGAGAAAATATCTGCATATTGGAAGACGTCATGGGCAGTGTGATTCTATTTTAGGTTTTGCTTTTGAAATGCAGGTTTATCAGACTGCTGTATTCAAGGCCACTGCCCTTACATTGAATTGCTAAAAAAGCTTTGAAGGCCTTCTGTTGGTCCTGGATGTAATTTCATTTGTTCTTTGCTATTCTTATGTGGAAACTCTTTGTATGTTTAAGGAACTAACTACGCTACTTCAAAGAATGTCTTGAAATGAAACCACTGCGCGTGTAACTACATCAACTAAGGACTTTCCTTGAGGTATTCAGATTAGATGGCAAATTCTTGTCTAGAAACAGAAAAGGTATGGCAATACCTCTTTTAGCAGCCACCGTTGAATATGATGGGGCCATTTCTTGGTGCAATCCTCTTGAAACCCTGAGTTGTAGGCTTGGGTCTTGAGAGCAGCCACTTTAGCTCAAAAATTCTGAAGGTTGGGATGGTAAAAAGTTCACCCTCATAGGAACCTACTTTAGTGGGACTTAGGGTATGGATTTTTTATGATTGAACGGGGAAATTGGGAGATAACATCAGCAATGGCCATAACTGAGAGTAGCTCAAACCCAACAGATGAAAATGGTGAATTTTCTTTACGAGCTAGTGAATCAACAACTGGTTGTTTTTTTTTTTTTTTTTAATCGGCATGTTTAGTGACAGGATGACCAGCATTATTATAGAGATTCATAAGAGGGCACCATCTTCTTGGAGACTGTCTTATTGTACAATTTCCCATGCATTATGGACTCAGCTAATGGTTTTTTTGACTGAACTCAACCTGATCGAAAATTGCTCAGTATTTAACTGAGGTAATCAAAGGTTCAGAGATGAAGGAATAAAAACTCACTGAATCAAAGGATTCCTCAGTTAGGGTTATTTCAATATTTATGCCTTTACGATGACTTGGAGAGACACATTGCAAGATGGAACTATTAGAGAGCAGAGATAAGTAGATGGGAACTAGAGATAACGAATTAATAGCTGCAGTCTTGATTCTTTTTAGGATCTAAACTATGTTTTCCTTGCATCATCTTAGATGGATACCGAGCAAAAAATTTACAGTCTGTAGTGATAAAACTACGTCCTCTGATCTTTTAGATTGCTAACCATTGTTCTTTGACGTCTTGTGGTTACAATCAATGAGACTCTCTCTTTTTCTGTATAACCTTATTTGACTTGAGTTACAGCAATATCAATGTTTCTTTTGCTTAGCAGAACAATGAGCTTTGCGTAAACTCCCAAACGGCACGCTTCCCTTGTCTGCTCCTTCTGTACTTTGCCCTCTATTCCATGTCTTCCTTTTACACTAGCATCTTTACTTTTCGCTTCCAGTCCTCTCAAACCAAGTGCCCCTAATGAATATGAATGTTGGGTTTGTTAAGCATAGCATGTCAGGTTGTGATGGGATAAAGGTGCATTCAAGTTGGTGTTGCTTAGGGCAAATTGTGGTGAATTGCTGTACATTTACATGCTCAAAACATTAAAACAATTACAGACTTGCATGTTCTTGTGATTAGGTTGGATCAAGATGTGACAACGTTTGGTTTCTATCATCAAGTCGGTGATTAGGTGACAAGTGAAATTGAATACTGATATTGCCTATTGATAACATCTAGTAATTCATAGGCAGATTTCCATAACATCATGCTGGCCACTTTTTCTTCTTTTGCTAATTTTCCAGAAGGGTTGGCTGCTATGCCTTCTTGTATTGAAACAAGCAACATGGGATGCTGTTAATTTGTCCACAAAATATTGATGTTCGGTAGTTGTCATATTATGATTCTGTGTCAGAATGAATTTGATTGTGATAGAAAGCTAAGAACTGTAGATGATAATGATGTGGGTTTATATGCATAGTAATGCCCCTATTTCATTTTTTATTTTATTCATTATATTTTTTTTATCGTGGTTTTAGTTCTAAGAATTTTTTTTTAATCAAAGTTTTCTATTTCTATTATTTTTTGTCCTAAATCTTAGCTGGTTATAAGGTTCTTTTCCCAATAATAATACTAATAGCTACACTTTAGTTATTCATTTAATTCTTAAAAGAAGGGAAATTCTTTTTCTATTTTCCAAATTTAAATCCTATTTGAAATACCATAATTGATCCTACTTCTATTACAATCCTATCCTTTTTTTTTTTTTTTTTTTATAATTCTTCCAATAACAAGATAATTTGGAGTATAATTGATCCTATCCTATCATTTAATTCTTAAAAGAAGGGAAATTAAACACTTTTTGCTTATTAATTCGAAGTATAAAATAAAATTAAAAATAAGAAAAAGTAATTATATAAAAATTAGTATGAAAAAAATTACAAAAGATAAGATTAAAATCCTCATCTTTATTGTGGAAAGAATTCTACCCAGCATATTTTTGAGGAAGCAAATTTAAAATGTACATAAGGTTTCTGATTATTTACTACATATATATTCATGTCAACTTTTTCTAAATGTATTCAATATGAGTGTCATAATGTCTTCTTTAGGATTTATAGACAAAAATTATTTTACTTAACAATCTTACTTATAAACTATTAATTAAAAAATAAAAGAAAGAAAACTCATACAAGATTAATTTGAGACAAAGGATGAAATATCATTATAAAAAAAAATGCAAAATAAATAAAATGAACGAAGAAAATAAGCAAATGAATATATAACAAAATTGAAGAAGTTAAGATACAATTGGTATAGTGATCAATGATGAAAATAAGCATACGAAAAATTTCAAAGGAAAAAAAAATCAAGGTGGACAACATATTATATTTCATTATTGTAAATTATTTATTTACAATTCAATAAAAGATTTTTTTTTTTCAAATTCAAACCTTAAAATAAGATGGATTTATTTTCTTTATTTAAAAAAATGAATTTATTTTCATTTAGTTCGTGATGGTTTATACTATTTGATACATAATTTGTGTATTGTTCAATTTTTCACTTTCTAAATCTGTCTGACACATTTTTTTTAGTTAATATTAATTAAATGTAATGGCTATACTAAAATTGTTGTATCAGTTAATTTCAATTGTAATTTTACAATGAGCAATTTAACAAATTATTGGAACTCAATATCCTTGTCAGTTCTTGTATAATATGCGAAGTTTTCAATCTATTCATATATTCGAAAACAATTTTATTATACCATGTCATTTGAGTTGGTTTCTAATCTATTATTTTTGATCAATTTTTCTACATAAATTTCTTTTTTCATGCTAATTCATCCTCCCACTTTCAATTCCAACTTCAATTTTATTAAATAAAAATTACATGATTAATTTCTCAAGAATTGATAAAAAAAATTTATCGAAAAGATAAATTAGAAACTAACTCAAATAACATAGACATAATAGAATCATTTAAGGATATAAGAATAGATGGTAAAATAATAAAATAATATGAGAGTATTAATCATATATTAAAATAATAAAATAAATTTAATCGTTGTAATTAGTGGGTTCTTGTGTTTTTCGAGCCTGTGGCCCCCTTTCTAACAAAAACTAAAAATAGATAAACTAATGAATAAATAAAATCAATTAAATAATGCATAATGAATCACATAATTAAGCCACTCAAGTGGATAACACTCAATTAATAAAGTTAAAATTAAATTAAAAATAGCTATTTTTTTAATAGCACTCGGTGACTCGAACAATCAAATATACAAATTTTATAACTACAAACAAAACATGAATGATATGCGCAGGTTCCGAATCAGTTTGCTCTAGTGGTTCCGAATCGGATAATTTTATTGAGAGAATTAAGTTCTAAGTTCAAATAATTTTAATTTTCTCAATCATAAGGATTAATAATAAAATCTGAAAAATCATGTCTTGCAAATTTATTTCATAAAAAAACCTTTTTATGACTTCATATTTTCATTTGATTTTTAACACAATATTTTTCTTTTCTAGGTTTGCGTTAAGAAAATATATTTTGTTGGTAGTTATAGAGTGATAGTGGCAGTTGTAGATGATAATCATGACGACGACGAGATGGCGGTGCTAGAAATAGAAAATGATGATGATTTATCCAAAAAACTGCATGACAAAAAAATTCACTAAAGAATATGATTAGCTACATTTATTTTTAGCAATACAAAAGTAGGATTTAAAAATATATTTAAATTAAAATTAGCAAGAGAATACTTTTAGAATTATCGTAGATGAAAGATGATTTTATTATTTGAATTTTTTATAAGTCTAATATTGACTTAATTTGAATTTTTTTATATCTAACCAATAATTTATATTTACATAGTAAATGAAATGATCACTTGTGAGAAAAAAAAAAAACTAGTAAAATAAATAAAGGGTGGTTGTAGTAGTCTTTTCAGAATCCTTATTTGTCACTTGTAAGCCTCAATGATTTCAAAGAAACCAAACCTGCCTAGATCAACCCCAGCTATTTTGGGCAAACGCCCGACGAGTTACGACTGATTCTTTTTGGGTTCAGATGGGAAATTGGTGCCAGTTGCCCAACTTCTTGGTCAAGACATTAATGGGAGGATAAATGATCGAGACTGATCATGCTCGATCTCTTGTATGCACCTAATTTTGGTAGGAAACTCAAGGAACATGATGGCCTTTAATTAATGCTCCTCGACACTCCTTATTTGATCCATGAAATTCCTAACTTAATCTTGTAAGAAAGGTAAATGGTGGTTGAACCAGGCAGGCACGACCTAATTTACTGTTTCTGCATGAACTGATTTAGCCTAGCTAGTTTCTAGAATGCTGACTTTTTACGGAGATGCACGAGCGTGATCTAAACTCTAGTTATGTAATAAATTGGAAGCTGAAAAGGGAATGACTGCTAAACAGTTGACTTGATTTTCGATGAAAACCCAAAAAAAGAAAAAAGAAAAAAAAACCTTTCATTGCAGGGGTCCAGCTCCAGCCTGGTTCAATTTTGTTTTGCCCTTAAAACAGGGCATGCACTATTCTATGAACGGTACTGTGTTAAATGTGATGCAATGTAAGCTGACTATATACACATTATACTGACATGGAATCAAATCTTCTCTAGATTTAATGATCAGTTTGTGAAAGAGACATCTTACACGTTACTTGGAAAAGGACAAACATACAGTTTGCTTAGGGTTTTCAGATGATGGAGAAAGTCTCAATCAAAAATTGTAATCGACAAAGAAACAGTTCGATCTTGTACTAGAAAATGCATATAAATACAATTTATCCTGCCAATAAGTTTGCTTTACTATAATGCCTAATTTGATACCATTTCTTGTAAACGATGTCAAATCTTCTAAATTCTTAATTGTCACCATATGCAAGATTTTGGGTTTACCTTCTTTTTTCTTTTTCCAGGAAAGATGAATCCATGATAACTATATATTACTATTGTCATGTGACAGTGGCGCCGGTGGTTGAATGTCTTCAATCATGTTTTGCATCTATGAAGCAGAATTTGATACAGGCGAGATGTTTATGTTAAAGAACACTTAACAATTTAAAATTTTGGATTAAATATATTTTTGACATGATATTAAATTTTGATAACCAAAATGGTTGCATCCTCACTTTTTTTAATTTATATTTTTAATTAATTAAATATAAAATAATGTTAATCTGTATAAATTTTAAACTCAACAAACTTAAAGTTAAAGGAAAGTATTACGGAATAATATAAATTATATTTTGAAATTTTATTTAGTTTAATGCATAAATAAAATTGGACAATGGACAATTCGTTATGATTTGTGAAATGGTCTTGTAAAATCTAGTTTCGTCTGCTAACCAAACTAATTTTGATTATTATTGGGAAATTTTGTTGAAATTCTCTCCCTCTTGATATCATAGGTGTGGCCCCGAGTGGGTTTCCAAGTGTATATATTTTAACTAATCAGAAAATGGTAGTAGGTGAATAATCCTAGATTAAGAACACCACATGATTGTGGAGTAATGATCATAAAATATTCGTAAATAGACTGATAGCTTGGAGACTTTATGTACACAACTGATCCTGTACGTTACTAGCTAGGGTAGGGTAGAGAGAGAGGAAGAGATAGATGCCCAACCTTGAGACGAAGAAAAAACTTTTTTATGTCTTCTGGCTCAAATCGCATCCATGATTTGCTTTAACCCTAAGAAGTCTCGTGTGTGTTGGAGCTTCTCCTTTGTAATTGAAGGAAAAGGAAATTAAATACTAACTTCTATGCTTTCACAAGCTTGATGCAACAGAACATGAACTATTGCAATCAAAGAAGGAACAAAAAAAGGCTAAAAACAACCATCTTTTTAGCATTTCTAAATTTACATAAACATGAGTCCGATAATGAAGAGGACAGAATCTGAAGATAAAATAAAGTGTAAAAAAGGGAAAGAAAATACATTTTAGAGCTTGAGGGACAAGTCGAGCTTCTGAATATGATCATCTTGATTAGTCTTCAAATGACCACTGCCTATCCACCTACCTATTCCAGGGTCTGCTGGAGAATCTACAGTACTAGTCCTCTCTAAGTTGAACCTACTAACACCAACACGCGATGATGCTGATGCATTCATATAATAATTCTCCATTGATAACTTTCCTATACCTGGTTGTTGATCAATAGGGGGCCTAGACCAGCTGCCATGTCCATACATGTTTCCAAACCCAATAGAAGATGATTGGTGAGAAGGCTTATGGATCATTGAGTGTACTTGAATTCCAAGAGATCTACCATGGAGAGGAAGAGAAGCCACGCTTGAATGATTGTGGTGGTGGAAATAAGGATGTCCATAAGCTGCAATTGAAGCTGCCAATTGACTCCCTATCAATCTCTGCCCTCTTTTAGCTAAAGTCCTCTCTCTTTTATGGGCATTTTGGTGTCCTCCAAGTGCTTGTGAACTATAGAATTTTCTTTGACAATAGTTGCATGAGAAAACCCTTTGCTCTCCGTCAGTACCTTGAGGAGTACTTTCCGGTGAAGCCTTAGATGAATCCATGCTGCAGAAGCTGCCTATAAGGTTGAGCTCTCGATTGAACCACTGATTTGAATCACTTGTAGTTAGCTCTAGATCTGATTGGAGAGTTCGCTTAGCTTCTTCTTCTTCTTCTTCTTCTAGTTGATCTCTTTCTTCTTCTACAAGTTCTTGCTCATTCTCTTTTGAGTTTTGCAGTGGAGGACAATCGGGTGCTGAAATGCTTGAAGCTTCAGAGAAACTTAACTCTCTCATAATCAGTGATTCCATAGGAAAGAGGAAAGGACCCTTTTTGAGCCTCTACTGAACTATGCTAGTAGAATATGGAAACCTTTGTTGATTGCAGAAAAGGGATAAAATCTTTTTTGACAGGAAGTTAACTGCTATGTGCTATATATGGAAGGAAGGATATAGTGCTTCCTACATAGATTTTGAACAATACAAAATATAAGAGATTGGTAGGTTTTGTTTGTTGTCACACACTTGTAGAATTTTCCTTTCATTGGAACTCCACCGTGTAACTATTATATATCCATTTGTCTGTCCACTTGTAGTATCCTTAATTACACTTCAATCTTACCGCATGCTCATTGCCCACCTATCCTGTTGCAGAAGACACAAATTTCTGAGATACTAACTATGCACAGACAATCAAATGTTTGGAGTTAAGCTATTATGTTCAAGTGGCTTGCCTCAATCATGAGGAGACAAACTGACCTTCTTGTCTAGGCATCACACAACCCTTTCATGTACTTTTAAGTCCATCAACCTGGGGTACTATGTTTTTACGAAAAAAAAAAAAAAACTTGGGGGTACTATGTTACATTGTTACTTGTTACTTGTTAGTTCAAGTGCTTTACTTCTCTTTTCTTTTTGTGGGACATTACTTTTCTAGGATGTTTCTGGTAGTGATATATTAGCATTGTAAAAGTAACTATAAATTTTTTATTTTTTATTTTTTATTTTTTTTAGCAATGAAACCTAAAATGGGTAGTGCAATACATAGCATTAAAAGAATAATATAAGTCATATTTTGAGATCTCACCTAATAAACTAAGTTTTTGGATGAGATGATTGTTTAACATGTTATTAGAGCTTTAATGATCAAACGATCGTGAGTTCGAATCTCATCACCTTTATTTCTTTTCTAATTAATTGAGCACAAAGTAGTATGAGTTTATACAAGTTTCAAGCCCAAAGGACTTTCATTTGAGAAGGTGCATGTGTTAAAAAATAAAATAAATCATATCTTAAGGCCTCACTTCGATAGCTTAAGATGGTCCTTTTGACAAAATTCATACAACATAAGAAATTACAATAAAAAAATCAAGCAAATACACAAAATTAATATTGAAATGGTGCCTAAATCCCAAGTCCACACATATAAACTTGTAAAAAAGTAAGAGAAATTATTGAAACTCAAAAGAGTTAGATTGATGATGTGGTAACTATGTCTACCTAAAAATATAGAAATGAAAGTGATGAGGTTGTGAACCTCGGTTGATAATGTATGATGAGGTGACTTCTTCTTCATTGATATGGTTGTGAGGTTTGATGGTGGTTGAAGATCAAGCTAGCCGACTACCTACAAAACAAGTAGCTCTTTATGGGTTGAAGGACCAACCGATAACTAAGTTAATATACGGAAGGAGGTTATAGCCCAAGAAGGTAATGATGTAGTAATGCAAGTATACCCATACATGTATGAAGATGGTAATTCTTTATAGGGTGGGCAAGAGCCTGGATGTTTCTTTATTGATGAACACTCTAGTTAGGTGTTTGTAGAGAGACTAACTACTCTTAATAAGGGCTTGAGGTGGAAATATATTGCTATCATCTCTAACCAAATGATAGGATTAATGAGTAACTAGCTAAGACTAGAAGGGGAACTTAGAAATAATTGATTTTTTTTGTATGTTCGCTTACAAGTATAATTTCTATCTATTCAAGTTTACGACTAAATTCCTTTAGCTTCATAACTTGTATGTGAGTCCGCTTCACCTAAATAAATGAACCATTATAGTTGCCTTTGAGAATATTTATAGGTAGTTTGAATTCACTCTCATACTTAAGCTTTTTAAGCATTCTTACTTCTTTGTTAGGAATTCTAAAAGGAGGAGAGGGATGGTGTGGCTCTATATTTTTTTGACCAAAAAGTTAAGTCTACAAAAGAGGATGTGAGTAGACAAAATTGACCTCATTGAAGATTGAAGAAAAAAGTGATTCGTAGTAAAGTATAGATGGCTTATGCCTTTAGTTAGAGATCAAGAGGTGTGGGGACGTATTAGTTTTAAAGAATACCTTAGGATGATTACAACACCATCCTTTTACAATCTTGTGCTAACCAAGACTTTTAAAAGTATGTGAAGATCAAAGACAATAGATACCGAATCAACATTCTAATTAAAGAGTTATCTTTGGCTTGTGTTTTGAGAGATAGATAGGTTAACCTTATTTCTTTCTATGCTAAGAAATTGAAATTTTATCATAGATGTACTAACTTCCTCTTTTATTTTTATAGTGAGTAGAGCATTTGAGGAAGAAGTTGATTTGGAGAAATTTAAAGTAGAGTTTGAAGAGTCCAAAAAAAGGTATTATCTTAGTGGTAAAATCAGTCATTCTAGGCCATCTTGTGGGTAGCTTATGAGGAAGGAACGAATATCCTTTTTGGGAGACAACCCCCCACCACCGGATAGGGTAAAGACTCGGATGGGATTTTTTGATCGGATTCTTCCTTCTTCATGCCACGAGATATCTACTTTTGCGAATACTAAGAAGAAGAGATAGAGATAGGAAATGGGACTAAGTGTAGGGATGGCAATTTACCCCACCCACCCCATTTTGCCTCGATTAACGTGGGAATTTCTAGTGTTGATCGAGGAACGGGACGAGGCGGGGATGATATTTGCCTACCCCATCTCGTTTGCCCCATTTCATGATTTTCATCCCTAAAATTATAATTATACTCTATATAAAATCTGTGACTAGTGACTTTTAGGATTTATTTTCTATATAAACTATCATTTTTTTTGTTATAATTTAAAATTTGATAGTATAATGGGATAAGACGAGACGAAAAAAATTTGATAATTTGTTTTACCCGTTTGCCTTGCCACTACTGCATGGGGATCCCTCGTCTTCGTTTAGGGCGGGGATGGTATGAAAAATTTTGCCTCGTTCGGGATACGAGATTGGGATAGGGAAAAATTTTCAAAGGTGGGACGGGGATGAGAATGGCGATCCCTACCCCCGCCCACCGTATTGCCATCCTTAACCGAGTGGAGCTAGAGCACGCCTACTCAAAAGATAAAGAATTGGTTTTGTTATTCTCTTTATAGAAGACTAAAGCAATAACTAAACCTTATACCTTAGCTTATAATTGGATTGAAAGGTTATGGTTCTTATTGCATTGATAAATGTTAAGGTTCCTATCATAATTGGAGAAGCTCTTCCAACTACTCGACATCCAAAATAGAAAGTTGATGAGAGCTCTACTAGTATGTCACGAATTGGCTTTGCTCATGCCTCACCTCTCTCTTTACTAGAGAAATAGGTTTTTATGAGGAAATAGCTTTTTGGAGATGCCATCATTCTATAGAGAAAAGAGGGTTATTCGAGCATCTTTCTATGTTCCCTAAAGACGTGGCATCTTGGTCAAACAATTTTATGTCCGAGCAAATGAGGAAACTCATGTAGTTGACATGCGCGATAAGTTTTTTTTTCTTTTTCTAGTCTTGATTTTTATCTTTATTTGTCAATTGTTCATCTAATTTTGTTTGTAGGTTTTTCAAATGTAAGCTTACGGCATCCACAAATGGAATGGTACAAAAAACGTAGGTCTAAGGTCGATGAAGTATAACACAAGATTCGGATAACTTTTCGTACAAAAAAAGGGAGCTATAATTATTTTGTACTAAGATAGAAGAAAAACTTATGGAAATGGAAAGTTACTTAGCTAAAGGCATTTAAAGATAAGAAAGCCACATAACTCTAAATCTAGCTAATGCGAAGGGACAACAACATGCGAGAGAGAGCTTTATATCCCTTAAAGGCTTCGAGAAAACTGCTACCAAGGAGGTGAGAGAGCTCAAGCAAACCTTAGCATCTATGACTTGGGAGATAGATGTTGCTTTGGAGGTGGCTTCCCATCTAAGAGTAGTGGGTAATCAACTTAAAGAGTCCTACAATATATTTTGTGAAACTTTCCAGTTAATCAAGCTAGGTAGAATGCCCGCAAAATAAATTCTCTTTTGTGAGATGGAAGAATCTTTAATGACTAAATCAATGTGTTGAGGGAGATTGTGGCTCGAGAAGACGAAATGTAGTAATGCAAGTATAAAGAAAATGATGAATAATGATTATTTGTAGAGAGATTTAAACCTAAAACTTTAGCTTATTTGACGATTTATATAGCTAAAAGTCTTGTCAAATTGTATATATATATAGAGGGATGTAATGGTCTCCTATCAACAACTTCGACATCCACTTGAAAGACAAAAGTCTTTGATGTTAACAAGTTATAATTGGGAGAATATTGCGACATTATAGTTCGTATTGGTTAGACATAATTGATTTTAGTTGTATACTCTCATTTAATAGATACACAATATAACCTTTCTAATTGATAGGATTGAGGTTGGTAGTCTAGGCATATTGTTCGGGAGGAGGCCGTTTGGTACTCGCATAGAATAACTTAGCCCTTATTTGGATATATAAGGAAGAAAATAAAAGAAATGAAGGGCTATAATTGATATCACTACCAACGACAGACTTTTAGCTACTAAGAGTTTTAAAGAAACTATTCGAGAGAAAGCATACATATATATATATTTTTAATATTGTTACGTTTTAAACAAACACTCTTTAATTCTTAGCTATATGAACTCTGTAAGTTTGGAATATTAATCATTAATTTATGATATTCCGTTCAATTATTTTAATAGGTTAGAGTTGAGGAATTTGAACTTAAAGGCACCAATTCTTAAAGTCTTATCTCGTATGACTTTATATTTTACTTGTAGCATACGATGATCGATCAAATTGCAAGTTTAGTCACATGATTACATGAAAATATCTAGTCATGTAAACTACTTATCAAGCTTAATGTCACCGATGAATGAACATATATAATCTGAATTTCTGCATAAATAAAACTATATAGTTTGGTAGCATAGTTAGAAATACTTTTTAAAAGTGTTTTTTTTTTAAAAAAAAAATCAAATCATGCTTTTTTCAGAAATTTTCGGTAGTTCATAAAAAGCATAATTTAATATTTTTTTCAACCTAAATACATTTAGAAAACCACTTTAAAGTATATTCAAACCCCAATATCAAATGATGGCTTGATTACTTTGATCTTTTATTATTATTATTATTATTCATCTCCCTCTAAATGTAGAGAAAATCTATTATTAATATTTTGTTTTAATTTGTAAAGTATCCTTACATGAGTCTTAATTATGAGCGCCACAATAAAATCTATAATAAGAAAAAAAAAACGATAACTTTTTCTTAAGATTCAAACTCCAAATAATAAAAGAAGAAATAAATGTACTCACTACCCAAACTAAATCCTTCAATAATGTAATCATATCACCATCAGCAATCTTACTATATAGTATGTTTATTCTGAAATACCATATGATTCTTTCATGTAAAAAAAAAAAAAAGGGAAAATATGATGTAGTTTGTCGCTTATGCCATGAATGGTAGGGACATTGACAAATGGCCGACAAAGAAATAGGGAAGCTGAGGTAGAGCCATATAGTCGAAAAAATAAGCTATGATTAGACGTGATAGTGGTATCTTATGTACTCTATGGTATTATTAGTTTGACATGAACAAATCCCTAAACAAAAAATAAAATTAACCCTTGAGATAAGCATAATCTTTAGCTTTGGTACTTTATATAATTATTATCAAAAGCATATGTCATTTTAGCCAACTTCTTTCGAACCAAATCCCAACCCCACAAGAGAAGGAAAAAGAAGAAAGATAGTAGGGTTTTGGCATTTTACTCTCTTTGGCTTGCACATTACAAACACGCCAATGAACAATTTTCTTGTCTAATCAATTTGAACCAAATCTCCTTTTGAGATCTCTTGTCTCTCCAAAAGTATTAAATTCAAACGATTGAAAAAACCCTAAAGAAGGAAGAATATCTTTGCGACATAAACTAGCCAGCAAGATACTTCACAGCGAACAACAAAAGCTATCTTTCTACTCCCCACAAATCCATTATGCATGCACATTGGTTTTCAAGTATACCTTATCATGGCTTGTTTTTATTGACCTAATCTATGAGTGATGTGGTAAATTAAATTTACCTAAGAAAACCAAACTATCACTTAATCTTTATCATCCCTTTAATTTTATTTTTATTTTTTTTTATCTTTCCCAAATTTAATATTGTCTTGTGAAGTAATTATGTGCTAAATAACAGGATTAGGTCACAAAAGAAATGTGCAAGAGTTTTAAGTGAGACTGTCCATATAGTAAACGTTAGGAATCTTTCCTAATCACACAAGTCGCAACTAATGCAAACATCATCCTTTTTTTTCAAAGAAGAAAGAGCAATTAAGCAATGGAGTAAATTATAAATTATTCTCTCTTGTTTTAAAAAATGAATTAATTAGTCCATTTAGTTTCAAAAACTAATTATTTAATTTTTTTAACTAATATTAACCATAACTAATTTAATATTTTTTTATCATTAATCTTTTCATGCTTTTCCTTATTTATTATTATTTTTCTATTTATTAAAATAAAAAATCAAAATAAATTAAAAATAACAAAAAAGTAAATAATTAATTTTTAGACTAGAGAAACTAATTAATTCATTTCTCGAAGTGAGAGGAATTAATTTATAATTTACTCTTAAACAATGTTGTCCCTTCCATCTCTTAAAAACATGATAATAATACGAAAGGCAAGCACTGTTGAACTCAACTTGAGTTATTAATTTATACAAAAAAAAAAAATCTCCTCATTGAAATAAGTGAGTATGACTGATATCTCCCTTAAATTTTAATATTTTTCATCATTTAGTAAAAAGATTTTTTGATAAAAATATTAATTTTTTCTTTTTGTTGAATCGGATAAATTAGCAATTAATTATACCAGATTGGGTTCAAAAGATTCAAACTACTGGAAAAAAATTTTCCTTTCTTTTTTTGGTTGAATGACATGTAATTTATTTATTATTATTATTATTGAATTTCTATCCAGCACCGGATATATGATTCGCACTTGGGCCTCAAAATAATCTGGACTGATGTTTAAGAGTCAAGCTGAGCTCAAAGACCAAAATTATGAGGTTAGGCTGGGCCCAGTAAACTTTGGGTCTAGTTGATGCATATGAGTTTCTTTTTATTTGGATTCGAATACCCATTTTTCGGCCTTTTTCCTTTTCATGAGTCAGTACCAAAACATGGCCTGCATTCCTTTCTTTCGTTCTTTCTCTTTTCCTTTATTTTAGGAAGCTCAACGGTATACAGATTTTTTTTGAGTAAATTATAAATAAGTCACTTTTTTTCAAAAAAAAACTAATTAATTAGTTGTTTTGATTTCAAAAATTAATTATTTAATAGTTTTAATCAGTATGGACCGTGACTAATTTAATATTTCTTTATTTTATAATTTTTTTTTCTCATCAATCTTCTCATTTGTTTACTTATATTTTATTTCTTAAAATAAAAAATTAAAATGAATTGAAAAATAGCAAAGAGGACTGAACAATAGTTTTTGAAACCAGAGGAATTAATTAATTTGGTTTTCAAAGCTAAAGGGACTAATTCATAATTTACTGGATTTTTTTATAAAATTTTTAATGATAAAAAGTTTTCTCAAACCAATTTTTATGTATCGATCCTACATCCTTTATTTTTCTTGATTCATTTTGTTTCGGGTTATTTAATTTCTTTCCTCACCTCTAATAGTCACTATTCAAGTTGAATCATTGAGTTGCTTGCTTACTTTTTTTTTTTTTTCCCACAATCAATTATGATTGCAGACTATATATACATTCATCAATCAAGTAAGCTTTTCCCTAATTTAACAAAGCAGGTAAAATCGTTTGTCAAGTAATATGATCATTACAAGTCAAAATTAGTAGTTGCAAAATGTGTTCAAGATAGTCCATTTTTTGAACGCAATGTTTGAATTTTGAAAGTGAAAACATGTTAAATTATGAAGACTAATATAAATGAAAGCTTATGGTATAAGGTGTTGTATAGATGTAGCACGACGGTCCCGTTAAAGAATACATATCATTGTCAAATCACGTAAAATTTTTATATTGTGTGATTATTTTTGTTTTTCTATTTTATTTTTTTGCTTGATTTGTTTTCTGAAAAAACAAAAATGCAAGAATGAAAAAAAAACTTTAGTCGACTAATATTCTTTTCGTAATAAGCAATATATAGAAGACATTTAAAGACATGGAGTTGGCATCTAAGTACTTATTTTAGGTTAGATTGAAAATTCCAATGCTTCTTCTTATGGATTGTCCATTTGCCTACACGTGTTTGATCTCCTTCTCAATTTTCTGTCTCTTTATTTGTTTCTATGGCATCCACTAGGAAAATATGAACACAACCTTCCAAATAGAAACTACATGAAACAATGCAACAACAATGTAGCATAGTATTTCGATTTTATCATGGACTAATCACTCTATGCCCTATCTATTCTCTTTCAAATGAATCTATGCCTTTATAAGATTCCATTAATTCTCTTTACTTCAGCTCATTATCCCAACCATGTCTAGCCCAAAAATCACGACCCCTTTTGTTCTTGTAATCATTTGCTCTATCATTAGCAATTGTGAGTCCAATTCTCCACCTTCTTCTTATCCGACGTTTGATCCTCCTCCGGATGATGCATATGTTTCGCCTGCCCCGAGTCCTGCTCAATATTCACCCGAACCCGCAACGCCTTCCTATCAGATTCCATATGTCCCGGCAGTACCCGCTTATCCACCTGAACCTGCAACGCCTTCCTATCCGATTCCATATCTTCCGGCAGTACCCGCTTATCCACCCGAACCCGCAACACCTTCCTATCCGATTCCATATCTCCCAGCAGTACCCGCCTTTCCACCTGAACCCGCAACACCTTCGTATCCGATTCCAAGTCCCTCAGCCGTGCCCGCTTATCCGGAAGTACCTGCTTCTCCTCCATTGCCTACACCCCCACCAGCTCCTAGTTCCTACCCACCAATTCCAGCATCACCAGCACCATGCTCGTTGCCACCAGAACGTAAAGGAATTAAAGGAGCATATTGGCCATCGTTTGATGGATTTGAAGCCTCCGCCATTGACACTTCATATTTCACCCACATTTTCTATGCATTCCTCTTACCTGACAACGTGACTTTCAGGCTTGCTGTCACGCCATTCGACCAACAAAAAATACCCGGCTTCATCGAAACCCTACGTGCCCGAAACCCGCCAGTGAAAACCCTAATATCCATGGGAGGTGGGGGAGGTGATGCTATTGCTGCCATATTCGCGAACCTGTCCAGTGCTAAAGAAACACGTAAAATTTTTATCGATTCAACCATCGAAGTGGCTCGAGCATATGGATTTGATGGTCTAGACCTTGATTGGGAATTTCCTGCTAATGATCAAGAAATGATCAACTTTGGTTTATTATTTAAAGAATGGCACGAAGCATTGGTCCATGAAGCTAAAACTAGTGGCAAACCACGTTTGCTACTGACTGCTGCGGTTTATTACTCTTCACAATTTACAACATATGGTCTGCCTAGATCCTACCCTGCTGATTCTATCAATAAATATGCTGATTGGATTAATCCAATGTGCTATGATTACCATGGTTCATGGGAAAATTTCACAGGACCAAATGCAGCATTATTTGATCCAAACGGCAATCTCAGCACAAGTTTTGGCATTGGATCGTGGATCCAAGCCGGTGTTTCGCCGAAAAAGCTAGCGATGGGCCTGCCGTTATACGGCCGGACATGGAAGCTCTCGGATCCGAATGTTCATGGAATTGGAGCAGAAACTGTAGGAGTAGGACCTGGAGATGGGATTTTGGTTTATGATCAGATTCTTGAATTTAACAGGCAGAACAATACAGTGATAAATTTCGATGAACAAACTGTGTCCTATTACTCTTATGCTGGAGGTTACTGGGTCGGATATGATGATTCTGTATCCATTGATTGGAAGGTCCAGTTTGCAAGGTCTCGAGACTTGGGTGGATATTTCTTCTGGGCTTTGGGCCAGGATAAAGATTGGATTATCTCAAAACAAGGTAATGATACTTTTTTTTTTTTTTTTGTTAATTATAATTTAGTTAGTTCCTTAGTTTAGGAAAACAAATTAATTACTCCTCATGGTTATAGAAACTATAAATTTAATCCCTGTGTTTTAAAATCAATTTATAATTTTATCTTCTTCTATTTTCATTTTATGTTTTCTTTTTCAATTTTTTTACATTTTTTTTAAGAAATAGGAAAAGGGAAAAAAGAAGTGAGATATTATTTGGAATACAATACTAATAAATTAAGTATGGCCAATAATAGTGAAGGGACTATATAATTATCTTTTATACCACAGGAATTAATTAATTTGTTTTGATAAACTACAAGAACTAAGTTATAATTAACTGCTTTTTTTTCTTTTTATTATGTTTAGTTTGAATTTTATTTAGTGATAAAAAAAAGAGATGAAAACTAATACTATTTTTAATTTTCTTTTTTGGTACTTGGCAGCTTCGAATTCTTGGGATCGCTGAGAAAATTGGTAGCTTCAAAGATGTGGGAGTGGAAGTAGCTTTCAAGTTTGGATTGACCATTTTTTATTTCATTTTGTTCAAATTGAAAGATGTCACAGAAATTAATAATGTTCATTCTCCGTAAAGACTTGTGCTTAGTCAATTATAAATTAACAATTTGTATTCAATAATCAATAAGTTGCAATAAACGAGAAAATCTTTAAATAAATTTTTTGTTAACAATTCGAATTTTAAAATCATATTTATTGAAAAAAGATTAAAATTTGACGTTCATGTCTCGAATATAATTAATACTTATCTTCGACATGAAATAAGTGTCTTGAAAAAACCACAAAAAAAAAAAAAAATGTATCCAATAATACGTTGTTCTTTTTCTTTGGCTAGTAGTCTAGGCTTCAAGAATAATTTGTAGACAGATTCATAATAAACAAATTGTAGACACCAAGATTTATAGTTGTTAGGATACTTGTCTTTGTTTTCAAATTTCCTTTTGTTTTGTCACTTGAAAGATTTTTACTGGAGCTAAAACAACAGAAAAAAATGTCTCATCTATCTTCTTGGTCGTAGATCACAATGATTTTCACCTGCCCACGTCTTTTGAGAGGTGCAGCTTCTCTAAACAATCACAATCCTAATCCCAACCCACATTTTTTGTTTTTTTCCTTGCTTTCAGGTTCTTTCGAATTAACACATGCAGACAAGATGCAAATCTTCTTCATTCTGAACCAAATCAATCTGCAATTATCCACAACTTGACAGACTTTAGAACCTTGTAGTCACACACCACTTCCTCGTGCGCATCCTTTTGTTCTTTTAGGGAACTAGAAGTGTTTGATGAGTTCGACTGGACGAGACAAATGAAATTCAACTAAATTAGATTTTTAAGTTGAGCACTAAAGGTGTTCTCGAAGCAACTTGGTGATCTCGAGACTGACCCTTTTTAAACGTCGATTAAAAAATATTCTTCAATATATTATTTTAGATATTCAGAAAATAAATTCTCATAAATGTTGATCAAAAGAATCAAATCTTATACATGATCTATAAGTCGACATTTAATTAACAATAAATTATTATCTTGTGATTGAATTAAATTAGATTAAACATGATTGAATCGAAGAATAAATGAAATTGGATTCAACCTTTAAGCGTAAAGTTATTTTTTATATTTGGTACATTAGGTATGACAAGTATGGATAAAGTTTATGCAAAAGTTTATTTTTATACTTGAAATGTCTTCAACAATTTATTTTAGTCTCTATATTTTATTTTCACGATATTTTAGTTCTTAATGAAAATCTTTTGGGTTCTTTATTTTTGACATATCCAATTTAGTTTCTTAATTAGAAAAAGATTTGCAATTAAGCCCCTATATATATGTAATGATTTTTTAATAAAATATAGATAAACTTGACTAAACTTTTAATAAATTCAGATTGAAAAACTAAATGAGAGTGATAAATAGATAATATAAAAATTTGAGAAATAATAATTGTATCCATAGTATTAGACAAGATTATTCCACCTCCATGGCGAGATAAGAATTTTGCCTTTGAGACAATTTTAGACTGAAGGTCCTTATTCTATCCAAAGCATGCGCTAAACATAATATAATTTGTCATGTTTTGTCTAATATGTGCATCAAACACTTGTTATGTCCTACAAGTTCACTCTAATTTCATCCACCATATCAAACGTACACATCACTAGTGAACCATGAATGAAAAAAAATGCTAGGCATGCAGCAACATTCTAAAAGTTATGCTCCTAAGAGGTTGACTGAGGAGTAAAAAAGAAAAAAAAAATCTTATCCAACTTGGAGGGTTTAGATTAAATCTTCTCATTGGTTTTTTTATAAAAATGACATTTTTGTATTCAATTAGTTTTATTTATAAAAAATAATTTAAGTTTTGACTTCAACATAAATACATAGAGTAAAATTTCTCCATATATATATATATATATATATATATAAACATGATAAATGTGAAAAACGGACATAATGTGTATTCTAAACACCTATCTTGTTCATGGAAAACGTTATAAAAACTATACCTAATCAACTTAGAACTAGGCCTAAACATGAAAGTTTTATGCTTGTGAATTTTTTTTTTTTTTTTCAGGTTTCAAGGAAGGCCCATCAAGCCTAGCTAGCTACAAGATTTGCGATCGATTGCTTTTTTTTATTTTTTATTTTTATTTTGAAAGTGTGACTCGCCTAATAAGAGGTTGGACTAAGGTCCAAGTAACAAAACAATATATATATATATATATATATATATATATCATCAATGATTGATTCCCAATAATTGATGCATTAGTAACAACTAACCAAAGAAATCATATTCTTACTCTAAATGTCAAGCAATTTTCATAAAGAAATAAGCAGCCAACTACGGTTATGAAGGGGCACAAATTTCATAAATTTTTTAAAATACTCCCCTCATGGGAGACAACATTAGCTAGAATTCAGCATACGCATATAGATATATATACATTTTCTAGCATCTTAGGCAGGTAGGGTTCGCTGTTCTTCCCCCTATACCCTTACAACTTGAATTCATACCAAAGTGAGCTCATGTGACTTACCAAAAAGCTAAGGAATCTCAAGATTTGGCACCCAACATGAATCTTCTAGAAAATCATATTATATTGCACAAACTATAATATATTTTGGTTGTGGAGAGAAAGAGAGGGTTACTCATGTTGTCATGCAAATTAAACTGATCATCACCCCGTTTGAATGTTAATGGAGTTAGAGAAGTCAAAGGGCTATTGGTGCTTTGGATAATCACAAGTTTATTGGGATCTTGCGTATGCCCACCTTGTGGGTCTGGCTAGGATCTTCAATATGTGGTAGGTGGCAACCCCAAGTGTTAGAAAACTATTAACTTCTCTCGTTGATCCTTCAAGTTGAAGATTTTGTAATTTTTTTAATGCATGCTTCAACTTTAAAATATCACAAGAAATATATAGTTTGTGCATATCATCATTTTTACCCAAAAAGCATGTCCTAATAGATATGGTTATCAACCATTAATGAAAGTTACATCTCTAATGGCATATTATCAAGAAGAAATATGATTTGACGGTATAAATATTACTTTAATTTGATCAAGATTAAAATTTATTGTTTATCATTTATGAATAATTAGTTATAATTATTCATCAATTGTATCATGTTTGAATTGATTTATCCTACATAACAATCAAGTATTGATCAAATATTAAGTATGTTTAAGTATGTTTTATCTCAAGAAATAATAAATTTTAATCTCAATTGATGAAAAAATTTATTTTTCGATAATAACCCACTATTGAAAGAAAAGAATGACATGTTAGATAATATGTAAGTATAACTAATAAGAAGAACAAGTTATTGCCTCTTTGTTTCATTCGTATGTGTTAGTATATGCTACTCATTTGCCTCATTATTGTTCACAAACGGCAGACAATTATCATGGAGCAAGGATTGTGTTTAGGGTTGATTATCTGGATACAAGAACTGAGAGAGGGACACGATAGTAGCCACTATGTTCACTTTCCTCATCTTGGGTCATTATTGATCAATATATAAAAAGGGCTGATGCAAAAAGTTGTGATCAGATATGGTCTAATTAGCTTTGTGCATAGAAAATGGAATAAAAAGGCACTTTCAATCAAACTACGAAGGCCCCAAAAATGATAAAAACCCTTAATCTAGAAGAGATACATCACATCATTAATCATATATGACATTCATCTCCTTATCTGGAACCCACATTCTATAGTCTTCTCCACTTGAACTGCACATACAAAATAGTGGGCATTCAAGTGTAAGCTGATTTGCTAGCTTTTCTTTAATTAATTGCCTCCATTGCTCATTATTACCCTTTATCCCACCAACTTAAAAAACCAAAAAAAAAAAAAAAATTGATGGATAAAGCAAAGGTGCCGACTACAATGACTCTCTCTTACAATGTCATGTGTTTATGTGTCCTAAACAAGAAATTATTGGATTTCAATAATTTTATTTTGAGTGTCCGAGATAAGAATAAGGAGTAATTATGTGTATATATATATATTTTTTAGTTGCTTCCAGGTATTTTTATTTTACATTGGTGATAGTACTAATCATGTTCGAAACAAGAACGACAAGGCTTAACTTCTTCGAATTCAAATTATATATGTTAACGTATAATTCGTTTGAAAATCAGTTCACTTATTACTAGACCAACAACTTATTGGTTGTATATGTATTTAATTTATTGTTTAGATTCTTATAGATTATTTTAAATGTGATATAGTAGTAAGGAGATTGTCTTGGTTTTGTCGAGATCAAGGTTCAATTCACACTACTTACGAATAACCGAGCATAATTATTTCTTAGTGGTACCGGGATTGAGCTTATTTGGTCTAAAAAAGAGTCTAGAGGTCAACCAAAAGCTAAGCGTATTCGGCGTTGGCTTAACCCGGAAAGTGGTGGACTTACCTTCGATTGATGAGAAAACCGATATGAGAATACCTCACTATCAACAATTTGTTAGTTGTGCATGTATTTAATATATCATTTAATTTCATATAAATTATTTTAAATATAGTTTGGCGATAAGGGGGCTATCTTGATTTTACCAAGACTAAGATTCAATTCCCACTACTTACGAATAAGACTAATTATTCTTTAGTGGTATTAGATTTGAACACATTTTGTCTAAAATGGAGCCTAGTAGTCAACCAAAAGCTAACCGTATTTTGACATCGGCTTAGCCTAAAAAGTAGGTTAGTGGATTTAATCTCGATTGATATGAAAATTAATCTAATAATACCTTACTATATATATGTGTGTGAAGATAAATATCAATTTAGTTTTTTATAATATAGATCTTATGATTGGAATAAATTATTAATTGTATTTTTTTTAATAAATGTATTTGAGCAGGGCATGCATAAATTGATTTTGGTTTGGTATATTGCATTTTATAACTTGTTTTATATGTTTAGTTATTAAATCAACATGTCGA